AAATTATGATGTTCCCGCCTACTTTAGCTTTGACTGCCAGAACGAATTTGAAGCACCATACCGAAACTGCAGGGTTTTCACGCGTCTTGCCCTGGGAGGAGATGCTCGTTCGACAGTTCGCTATCGTGTCAGGCATATACTGATTCGACACTTTCCTGGGTGCTCGAAATTGGTTATGGGATTCTGTGATGTGGTCCTTAAGTGCGATGGGAACAACATACGCGTAGGGGAACTTTTATCAGTGATCAGATCTTCCTTCAAGGCTGAATCGTTTGCTCTGCTGCGATCTTCAGTGATCAGCCAGCCGTCCGACATGTGACCCAGGTCTCGAGAAAGAAGAAAGGGGGGAGGGGAAGAAGGCGTTACGACATCTGCGTGCGGCTGGTTTCGGCCCCGCCGCCAGGCGCTTTTCTTCATACATTGGCACCTCCAGGCGCTGGGAGGCGCCGGCAGAGGCAGCTGCGTGAGCTGATCTCCCATCTTCTTTCACTGCCCTCCCCTGTCGCGCGACCCGGGAGGCCACCCAGGCCGCGCGCGACGCGCTCGGCATGCACCTCGTGAGTCACCGCACCAAGGACATCGACCCAGAGATACGGCGCAGCTGCTTCGAGGCCATGCGCCTGTGGGCCCGCGCGGACCCTGACACGTTCCTGGACGTCGGAGAGGAAACACAACGGCTCTTCCTCCTCCCCCCTCCTTCCCCCCCCCTCCCCCCCTTCCTTCTCCCCGCCCCTCTCCTCTTCTTCCTCTTCCTTCTTCTCCTCCTCCCCTTCTCCTCCTGCACCCCCCCTCCTCCGCCTCCTCCTTCCCCCTCCTCCTCCATCACACCTCCCTGTCGTACCCTCAGACGTGTCGGTAGGGTCGACGGCTGGGTTTGTCGCCTAAGTCTTCGGCACTTTGGATCCCCAGAAGCTTGAAATGTGTGACCGTGTCATGGATGGAGGGCGTGTCGTGTTCACGTTGTGGCTCAAATTGTTGCTCTCGCTCCAGCGACGCGCGCATTCGTCTTAGAAGCTCACAGTTTCAAGGATGGAGGGTGGTTCCTTCTGTAAAGGATTCTGATGGCTGAAGTCTTACGGATGGTGTTGTGGCGCGGTTTGAGATTGTCAGGATTCAACAGTTAGGATATTCATTATGTTAAAGCCCCAAAAATGGTGTTTTGGCGCGATTCAGGACGCTCAGGACGGAACAGTCACATTGATTCGCGGTGTTGACGTCCTAGGAGTGGTGCTCTGGGACGGTTGGGGATTCTCAGACGGTTGTCTTCAATGGGGCTCTTCCCGCACTGGAAATCGGAGCCTAGGGTGTGAGATCGCAGTAAAACGGAGATCCCCCCACCAGGACATCGGTTTTGGTTTCGAGTCGTGCGTGCGGGCGAGGCGAAGCTGCGTGGGCGGGCGAGACGGCCGCCAGGCCCCAAGGGGCCCGGAGCCCCTGTGTATCCCGCCTGGCGGCCTCGACAGATGACGATGGCATGCCGCGGCCGCTGGGCCCCAGGGGTCGCGGTGCTCCCTGGGTGTCCCGCCTCGCGTTCTCGGGATGGGAATGCACGAGTCAACTAGTTAGATGAGGAGGAGGAGGAGGAGGAGGGAGGAGGGAGGGAGGAGGAGGAGGAGGAGGGAGGGAGGGAGGGAGGAGGAGGGAGGAGGAGGAGGAGGAGGAGGAGGAGGAGGAGGAGGAGGAGGAGGAGGAGGAGGAGGAGGAGGAGGAGGAGGAGCTGTGCCCACTCGCCTTCCCCCAGGACAGCCGCTGGACCCGCTACCTGTTCCTCGGCCTGGCGGACCGCCACCCCGGGGCGCGGGCGCCCGTGCTAGCCGCCCTCCACGAGATGTTCTCGGGGGACCCTTCGTCCGTCTCCCCGAAGGCCATGGCGGCGCGCAAGGGTGAAGTCGGGCCTGTCCCTCGACAGGAGGGATCTTCAAACATAGGCGCATGATAATAGCATGGGGATGACTTGTCGAGTTTGTTTTTGACTATTTTTGATGTTTGTTGGTGGGCTATTTTATATTTTTCGTCCGAAGTTCGCCCGCAGGGGGACATGCCCGACCTAACGCAAGGGGGGGTGAAGCGACAGCAACAACCCTGACCTTCCAGTGTGCTTAAACATCGCCCTCCGGACCTCTAGACCTATCTGGGCGGCCTAAATAAGCCCCCGACAAGAATCTAGAGGTCGAGGCCCTCGTGCTATTTCTGATACCCCTCCTGGAAGGTCCGGGGAAATGTGAGAGCCAAGTTCAATCGGGAGCCTTGAGACGGGGGTCAATGCAACCGGGGGTCAGCCAGGGCACCAGATCCTGCAGGATCCTGCGAAGAACCCCTCTGGCTGACCCGGGTTAGCGAGCCGCTCGTTGCCGCGAGGCGGCCGCGCAGATTGGCTGACCCAGGTTTGCGAAGACCTGCGGTGCCGTTTTGAGATGAGTTCGGCACCGCCAGTGCGGGCGGCACGCGGGCGGCTGGCCTTGCATGGATGAAATGGCCAGGGGGGCTCCCTCTGGGGGCAGCGGGCTCCTGAGGAACCCCCGTGGGCCCTTCGGAGAAGGCCCCCCCCGCCTTCTCCGACGGCCGCCCTCCCCCCCCCTCCCTCTTTGTGTCGCCCTTCCAGGTGGCTTCTCGGAGGGGAAGTTCTCTGGGCCCTTCCGAGGAGCCCCCCCCCCCCTCCTGCCTCCCCTCCGACCGCCCTATCGCGGAAGGCCCTGCCCCCCCCCCCCTCGGCACCACACCCTTTTCAGGGGCAGCGATGGGGGGGGATGGGCGCAGGGGGGGACGCATCGACAAATCGCAAATTGATCGCCGACAGGGTTCTGATAGCCCCGCCCCGCCCAGGAACGTTCGGATATACTATCGCGGATCTATCGCCGATCTGTCGGCGATGTCTCGCCGATTCCGGGTCGATGTTCCCCCCCCCAAGCCAGCCCCCCTCCTATCGTTGTTGTCCCTGACCTTTGCTCGCGCCGCCAACAAGCGTCAAGGTGCGCGCACTGGCCGAAGACCTGCGGGTACGGGTGCTGAGCTGCTGCCACGACGTGGACCCGGCGGTCGGCGCCGCCGCGGTGCGCTGCGCCACCCAGCTGGCAGCGCGCGGGCTGCTCGCGGAGGAGTCCTTCTGATGGGCAAACTTTCCACCGCCGCTACCATATGTAGGTCGGGGGAGAAGGAAAGGTGAGGAGGTCCTCCTCCTCCTCCCCATCCTCCTCCTCCTCCTTCTCCTCCTCCTCCTCCTGCTCCTGCTCCTCCTCCTCCTCCTCCTCCTTTTCCTCTTCCTCTCTATCCTACATATGGTAGTGGTGGTGGAACATGGGCCCATCACCTTCGACCCGATCATCGACCTGGTGTGGGACCCGGCGGCGCAGCGCCGGTGCGAGGCCGCCACGTTCATCAGCCGCTTCGTCTTCACGGAGGACATCCTCGACCACCAGGCGAGCTCGCTGGCAAGTCAGGGGAGCCTTGTCAGCCTTCTTAGTGCCGTCTTCAGCGCCGATGAGCGTCGATTGGCGTTTGGGAGTCGATGAGACATCGCCGACTTAGCGTCGATGAGCGAGCGTCGAAATGGCGTCGATGAGCGTCGATCTAGCGTCGATTAGCGTCGATTCGCAAGAGCCGACAAGATGCTTTGGGAGGCCGGCGGTGAGCAAGCGAGGGGGGGACGTGAGAAGGAAAAGCAGGTCTCCTCAGAAGCCCTCCGGCCTTCTCAGAAGTCTTCTGCGCCTCCCGGAGGGCCCGGAAAGCCTCTCAGAAGGCCAGGATACTTTCTCTAGCCTTCTGAGAAGGCCTTCTTCTTCTCGCTTCTACGGGCTGCCACCGAGCCAGGCGAGCGGCGCTGGCGCGTTTGCGCCCGCGGGCAGGGCCGGCGCGGGCAGCGCCCTGGCGCGCAGGCTCATCACGATGCTGCTGCAGTTCGTCGCCGAGTACGCGGAGGGCCACCTCGGGCTGGTGGACCGCCTGGCCTCCGCGCTCTGGCGGCGCGCGTCCTGCATCGAGGACTTCGAGGCCATGGCGTGCCTCGCGCTGCAGGAGTCGAGCAGTGGCGAAGCGTCCTGGCACGCCTACAAGGCCCACCAAATATAGTGTTCTGAGAACAGTGTTGTGGTCTGCGCGAGATGTTTTTGGAGCATTCCTGGCCGATGCTGTCTTGTTTTAACACATCGCGTCGATGTTCCAGAGAGATGGTTCGTGTTATTCGAACACCCTCGGGTTCTAGGAACAAATTTCGTGATAGGCCTATAGTTGTGAAGGGCGGTCAATGGAGAGGAAGCATGGTGCCAAATAATTTACAGATGTCTAACACATGTGTTAAACATGCTTGAAACATGTATAACACAGGTTGAGCACATGCTCATGACATTTCTCCGACACTTGAAGCACATTTAGTTTCGATGATGGAGGACTGTGAGGGTGTCCACTGTCGTGTCGTCCAGAAGCCTGTAGAGATGCCTGGACGGTTGGTTTCTGCGGGTGGAGGGCAAAGGGTGAAATCTGAAATGTCGTTTCGATTGGTTTTCCAGGCTTGGATCTGCAAAAGGTGAATCACAAGACGGATTGATTTTCGAGGTGCAAAAGCCCATCTGGATTTCACCCTAAGCCCTCCACCCTAAGAAACTGCTCAGTTCAAGGAGGGCGCCGATGCCGTCGCGGGCGACCAGCACGCGGCCCTGATCCACCTCGCGGATGCCGTCGCGTGCCTCGCCTTCGAGGACGCCGTCGCCGCCGGCCGCGCTGACGGCGCGGCCCCGCACGCGCAGGCCGTGCTCGACGGCGCCGCGCGCGCCCTGGCGCCGCGCGTGCCGCAGCTGCTGGCGGCGTGCCAGGCTCAAGTCGGGCACGTGCCTCCACAGGAGAAATATATTTTGAATGGCCAAACAATAAAGTCAGGGGACGAGCTGTTGTGCTGTTCTGAGCATATTGTTGAGTGTGTTTTTGTTTTTTTGTTGTCTCCGAAAATGCGCCTGCAGGAGGACACATGCCCGACCTGTCTGATGCCAGGCCGACGCGCTCACCATGGCCAGGGCGGCCAGCCTGTGCCGCCACGTCCTGCGCCACTGCGCCGCGGCGCAGCCGGGCGCCGCCGGCGCCCTCGCAGGGCTCGCCTGCGGGCCAGCGGGCCACGCCGCGGCCGAGGCGCTGCGCGCCGCTTTCCTGCGCCAGCCGGACCCCGACGTGCTGGAGCACCTCGCCGAGGCCCTCGGCCACCTCCTGGACCTCGCCAGCGAGGCTCGGCCACGCGCAGAGGGGAGTAGGGGGAGGGGGGAGGGCTTCTTAGAAGCACCCCTGCTTCTTAGAAGGCGCGATGCTCTTCTATAGGTGTGAGGCTGGCGCCTTCTAAGAAGCAGCCTCCCTCAGAGAAGCCTTCCCCCCTCCCCCTACCCCCCTCTGCGCGCCGCCAAGAGGCGCGGCCCGTGGTGCGGGAGCTCGCGGGCACGCTCCGAGGCCGCTTCCTGGAGCTGTCGCGGGGCCTCCTGCCCGACGCCGGCGGCGCCGCGCCGGCGGCCTCCGCGGCGGCGGAGGGCCAGCAGGCGCCGGTGCAGGACGCGCTGCTCTCCACGGCGACCCGGCTGCGGATCCTGGCGAAGGCCTTCGACGTGTCCCTCTGCGACCTGAGCCACTTCGTCGCCTCCGCTCTGCGAGTGCTGGACGGCCGGGCGGAGGCGCTGGCCAAGGGCGAGCGCCCGGCCGCCGGTCCCCAGCTGGCGGTGACTCTCATGGAGTTGGTGGTCCTGGTGCTTACCCGCCACGCCGCAGCGCTCTTGCAGCCGGACCCCCTCTTCCACTGCGTGGCCCACGACCCCATCGATGCGGACCAGCTGCGCCTGTGCCCCACGGCGGCCGAGGACCTCAGCACCGTGGTGGCCGCGCTGCTGAAGGCCGACCCGAACGTCTTGGTGCGCACGGCGGCGTTCACTGTTTCGCTTGTGCTGCTGACCGCCTGGTGGAACGCGGCGCACTTCGCGGGGGCCGTCGCGGGAGCCATCGAGGCCGGGGACGCCCTCGCCTGCCACTTGTCCTCTGACGCTGCTTGCTGGCGCCGCCACCGCTGCAGGCAGCGTTGCCGCCGCCACGCCACCACGGCAGGACACTGGCGGGCTGAAGTTCAACCGCCTTCCCGTCGTCCTGCTCCTCCGCCTCCTTCCTCTTCTCTTTCTCCGCGCTCTCGGGACGATGCTGAGTCTCTCGGGGGTAGAGCGCGAATGCGCCGTCGGCAGGGTGTGCCGCCCCCTCGAACACCCTGACCCCTAACTCGTTCGCACTTTACTTGTCGCTTGGTGAACGAAGTGGTGCCTTCATAATTAGCCGCGTTGCCGAGCTCCTCCCCCTCCGCGCCGCTCTCCCCCTCGCCCTGCCCGCCCTCTCCTCCCCGGCCTCCCTCGAGCTCGAGGCCCCCCGCCCCGCGCCTGCCCCGCCGCAGCCCGTGCGGCGGGCGGCCGGCGCTCCGCCCCCGCGGCCCCTGCCCCAGTTCCTCCCCCCTCTGCCCCCCCTCCTCGGCACCCGCGCGCGCGGTTGGAGGAGGAGGAGGAGGAGGAGGAGGAGGAGGAGGAGGGTTCAGTTTAGTTTCTCATGTCCGAGCAACGGCGGAGGAGGAGGAGGAGGAGGAGGACGAGGAGGAGGAGGAGGAGGAGGAGGACGAGGAGGAGGAGGAGGAGGAGGAGGAGGAAGAGGAGGAGGAGTATGTGGCTCCCTGCCCATGCCCTGATGTCCTGGAGCCGCGCGCGGATGTCGTGAACTCGCTCCTGCCCGCACGCGCGCAGCCACGACGCTGCCTGGTCCTCGGGCCTCGCTCGGTGGACCGCTCACTCTCCCCGGTCAGTCCCTGCCCAGTGCGCTCCGTCTGCTGGCCCCCTCGCCCGAGATCCCGAGGCCCGCAGCCTTGCACACGAGGGCCCTCACGGCCACCGTGCGCCCCCCCCCTCTCCTCGGCCGTCCTCCTCTGCCCTCGCGTTTTTCCTGCGCGCAAGTCGCCTGTCCGCGCCCCGCCCGGGTTCCGACCGCGCCGCGCCATCGCCGGCGCTGCGACGAGTCAGGGTCTGGGAAGCCTGGGCGCGGCGAACCTCAGAACCCTCCGAGGTCTGACCGCGGCGCCGGCGGTGATCGGACGGGGCTAAGACGAGGAGAACTCCGTTCCAAAGCATTCCGGAACGCTTTGAGAAGGCCGCGGCGCCTGGGACATCTTCCAGAGCCGCCAGATCTGAGAGATTCTCGATTTACCTCCCCACCCACCAAACCTCCTAAACCCAACCCGGAGGCCCCCATGCGCCCTCCATTCCCAGTGGGGGATGGGGGCGTCGGGGAACACCGAAAAAGCACGCGTGGAACCCGTACCCCCTCCCCCCCCAAAACCCGAAACGTGGGACTTCGGGTTGGGTTGGGGTGGTCTGTGGTAGGTAGTCAGCCCAGGCCCGCGACGCCGTGATTTTTCATGACGTTGACCCCAGAGGTCTCGACCCATTCCCAGGGACCGGCTTCTCATCCCAAGTCGTTTTTTGACGGTCCCGAGGCCGGGTAAGGGCCCCTGGAGGCTGAAACTAGCGAAAAACCTCTCCTCGTATTTTTCTCGCGACGCGAGGGCGTTTGGGGTGCTCATACTGCTACTCCATGGACCACTCCGACGGTGCTTTCTGACTCTGACTAACGTTCCGAGGCGAATACAGCGGCGGCGACGAAGGCCTCCCAGGATGCCGAACTAGGCGACGTGATTTTTCCACGACGCGAAAGGGTCTGGGAAGCCTGGGCGTGGTGAACCTCAGAACCCTCCGATGTCTGACTGCGGCGGCGACGGCGACGACGGCGGCCCGCCCCGCCGCAGGCCCCGCCCATGCTGCCCCTGTCGGGCGGCCTGGCGGCCGCGCTCTGCGGGCACCTGGGCGAGCTGCTGACGGAGGCGGCGCTCCGTCGGCCTCCCCTTGCGCGGGATGAGAGGGGGATGGATGCTCGGCCATGCACAAAGGGGGGTACAGTCAGACCGAGGTGTAGAGTGCCGTTTTTTTATACATGCTCCGCGTGCGGATGATGATTAAACATGCAGGGATTTAGTATTACAAACAACGATGAGTTCATGCATAAATTTATTCGTAAATAACTACTGTATTTTAAATCCTATAGTTTTAAATGATCCGATGTATTAAAAACTGCCCTGTAATATTCTAGGCCTCCCAGATGGGGTCAGAGTAGATGGGGTCGGAGGATGGCGCCGCAGCGCCGATGCATCGGCGATTCGCCTCGATGTGGAGTTCCATGTTCTCTATGCATCACCAGCGTCGCCGATACATCGCTGATGCATCGCCGATTCATCGCCGATGCGGTGTGATCCTCCGGCCCCATCTACTCGGACCCCATTTGCGAGGCCTCTAAAGATCGAGGTCGGTTCGGGGAGGGTAGCCTAGTATTCTTCGTGCTTAATGGAGGTTCTTGTGCATCCTGGGCAGGGTACTCTTGGATGTTCTGTGTTTTTGGACAGCGGGGAATCTCAAGTTATATAAGGATGTTCTTCTGGCCTAGGCTCGACTGTAGGAGTCGGACGGAGCTAGGACGAGGACAAATCCGTTTCGTTCCAGAGCGTTCCGGAACGCTCCCAGAGCGTTCTGGAACGCTCCGAAAAGGCCGCGGCGCCTGAGGCACCCTCCAGATCCGCCGGATCTCAGAGATTCTCGATGTATCCTCAACCGGTGTTATCCTCGTCCTGCCTTTGCCTTAAGGGGGAGGGGGGAGGCTTCGTAGAGTATAATTACCCCTGTTTCTTAGAAGGCGCCTGCCTTGTCTGTAGATCTAGGGTTGGCGCCTTCTATCAAGTAACCTTCTCCTAGGAAGCCTTCCCCCCTCCTTCCCCCCGTTTGCGCTGCCAAGGAGGTCAAGACGTAGCCTAACGTAAGTCCCCGTGCTGGCATTCGGGATGATACTCCTGTATTATCCTCCTCTTCCCATAAGGAAAGGGCCGCCTAACTTAGTTCCCAGGTGGAAAGGGTTGCCTAGCTTAGGTCCCCGAGCATTTGGTGTGATACATGTGCGGAAATGCCCCCCTTTCCCTGATGTGCTGGGCCGGTTTGAACTTTGGCCCGCTCCCAAAGTCTTAGGGGATACTTCTACATATTGCTTACGGTAGGCTCGCGTCGTGTCGACCGTCGGCGATCCCAGCGCGGGCGTTTCAGGTTGAACGCCGCACGTGGCCCGGAGTCGGCCCATCGTTGCACGACCCGGCGTTTCTGCGACGACCAGTCGTCCAGGTTTGAACGATCCCTGCGGTGTCAGGCGCCAACGCCGGGATCCACACTGCACGAGCCTGCCGTGGAGGGTTCGGGGGAGGGCCGGCTGAGACACCGGCGGTCCTCCGCGAGTTCTCGTTTCTGGCCTCGGGGAAGACCCGGAGACGCTCTGGAGGGCGCGTCTCCGTGCAGCAATGCGGCGTTCAACGGGCGCCGTAGTGCCCGCGCGAAGGGGGCGCAGGCACCGCGGCAAAGACCGCCGCCCCAAACGGAGTGCGGCTACGCCAGGCTCGCCGTCCGTGTCGGTGTCGGTGTGGCGCCCAGGGGCGTTTCGGGTGCGATTGTGCTGCGCCCAGAGGTTTCTCGTGGCTGCTCCCGTGAGTGAAGTTGTAGCCGCTGAGTTGGGTCGTTCCCGGTCGGGTCCTGTTAGACAGCACAGGCGAACATGTGCTCATCGTTTTGCCTCGGGGATAGAGCATGTGTGCAGGGGGGATGCCGTAGCTCTCCTCGTCCCACTGCTAGGCTTCCACAGTCCGAGTCAGCACCTTTTCAGGGAGCATTGTGGACCTCCTCCTCGAGGAGGAGGAGGAGGCGGAGGAGGAGGAGGAGGAACTGCACACCAGTACGCGGTCTGCTTCCGTTGGCCTGCGCTTGAGCGCGGTCACCCGCGCACGCGGGGACGAGGAGGGCGAACATGTACGCATGTTTTGGGGGCTGCCAAGAGGGGGGTGGTGACTACAGTGTGGGCCCATGCCAACAAACACCCTGCTTGCCTCCAGGGTGCTCTGGGTTTCTTGGGTTTCGATGGTTGTGCTATGGAAAGAAGTGACGTTCCCACACCAAAATCCAGGGACGCCCTGAGGTTCCAGGGTGGGGTTCCTTGTGGAAGGTTTCTTGTGGGCGGGCTCCTACTGTAGGGGTGGGTGGATATCATGGAGGGGGCCATGATATCTTCCCTGATTTCATGGCGCCTCGTCTTATTTCAATGCGTCCCCGGCCCCTCCCCCTGGGCCGCGCACATGTGGCCGTCCATGATTTACACCCCCCCCTTCTTGGACCCTCCTCTTGGCCGCCCTCGAGTGTCCCTGTTAGCATTGGTTAACCACACAAGGTGTTCACCGACCTTTTCAAGAGCTTCGCCGATGCAAATTGCCTGAACACAGACGTGTACCCTGATTCTCCCTGAGGGCGGCTAGAGAGGTAAGCAGAGCTGCCACGTATTGAACGGCTGCGCTGACGTGAACGGAGTCGGGTCTGCCACGAACGCAGAGGGCATTGCGCAGAGGAGTTGGCACAAGTTGCAAACTGCGTCCTTCAGCAGTGGAAGATTTGCGAACTGCGTCCCCCTGTCCCGCGTGCCGCTGCTGCTGCTGTCGCACCCCGCCGTGAACTTCAGCTGGGGCCGGGCCAAGCTCTTGTGGAACGCCATTGACGGTGAGCACGCTGCGAACAGGGCCATCGCCGAGATGGTCGACGATGGCCGACGCCGTTCCGCCGGTCAGCGGCTGGGGCAGTGCCGTTCAGGCGGCGCACGCCGGGCTGCGCGAGATCGCCACGCTGGAGCAGGGCACGGTGCTTGACACCGCGGGCTACGGCAGCAACTTTCACGCGGTCCAGGGGCGCGCCGCGTACTCGGCGATGCGGGTCCCGTCTCGGACACATGGCGCACCCGGGCGGTCTTTTCTCCAAGACGTACGAGGTCACCAGCTTTGTCGGCTGTGCAGAGCCCGAGGCCCGCGACGCCGTCAACTTGGACATGATGTGACCCACCGCACTTTCCGTATACCGTGCCATGCTTTGCGCCGCGTGCTTTTTGGGGGTCGTTGTCCTCTTCGACGCCTTATTGTGCGAACCGAGAGGGGCTCGACGCAACTGGCATGGGATGGTAGGGAATGGGGTTTGACGTCAGTCGTGACGGGAGCGCACCTAGCTTATCCTCCGCCCCCCCTCCTTCGCCTTCGTAGCGGGGCTGTTTGCCAGCGACGCGCCGCCATGATCGGCCGCGCGCGCGCGCTCTGTTTGTGGGCCGCGACTGAGTTGGGTCGGTGGCGGGCAAATACAAAAAACAAACAGCTCCTCCTCCCTCCTTCCGTCGAAGAAGACAGAAACGCCATAAACACAAGCTTTAGGCGCTCCGCGCGGGGTTCTTGGATCCGCGCTGGTCCCCCCCACCCCTGGCGGCGCCTCTGGCGCACCCCCTGGCGCGCTCCGCGCGCCAGGGAGGGGGGCCCAACGCAGATCCACGAAACCCGCGCGGTCTGTCGAAAGTTTATGTTTATGCCATTTGTTCTTTTTTTCCTCCCGCCAGCCACAGATGCTCGGTTTCGTAGTTTGTCTTCGGGCCCCTCGGGTCGGCCCGCTCGGACCTCCTCTCGAGCGGCTCTTGACACCCAAGTTCTGTTCCGTGTACGCCTGGCTAAAGGGAAGATTTAGTGTTAGGTCGGGCGTGTCCCTCTACAGGAGGAATTTTTAAAGACAGTAAACAATAATCTGGGGACGATTTTTCTGTTATTTTGTTGATGTTTGTTGGTATTTCGTGATTTTTTTCCGCCCACAGTCCGCCCGGGGGGACATGCCCGACCCAAATTTAGTGCTTCGATCCTCTCGGGCATCTTGTGCTCCCCTCGCGCCTCCCTCTGCGGAGGCCAGCGCCGTGCCGGCCGACTCCTGCAGCTTCGCGGGGAGGGGCGGGACATCGCCTCCGGCGGGAAGTTGCGGGGGGGAGGCACGGCGGAGAGGTCCACGGAGGAGGGCCGTGCAGCGGGGAGGAAAACAGTGAACGGTGGCAACTAGCGCTTGAGGGTTTTGAAGGTCTGAGTTGTGGAGATACGCTGGCACCCCTCCCTACGGCCATCTTCGTTGGCCGAGGGACCGTAGGGACAGCCTCGGCCCCCGCCATTGGCAATGGCGCCGTAAGGTGACAATGTCAAGAATGGGAGCTGGACCCCAGGCAGCCCCTATGATGGCAGCTGCCGAGGTGGTGGGGCCCATGATGGTCCCACCAGGGTAGCTGAGGCCTATGATGGTCCTCGCCAACAAGGAATGGGAGGAGGCGAGGATTTATCCAGCACCACCGTCTGCGGGATGGATCTTAGGCGACTTCGGCGGGCGGCGGGCATGGATGTATTCGGGCTTTGGTGGGAGTCCTGTCTATTCACACCCACCGCCGACCGAGGTCCCTGAAGGTCGATCTCCCAGGCTGTGGTTGTGGATAGGTCCCTGCCTCGCAGTGGATACCCCAGGCGCGCCAATGATGCTGGAATTATACCTCCCTCCAAGTTCCTTCTGCATATGTGCATCTGCTCCTACAACATGTTGTTTTCACTGTGGGAAGTGCCCTGTCGGAAGACATTTTTTTTTTTGAGAAAATCTCAACCGTGCCAAAGCGCAGTTCCTGGGACTTCAACGCCGCGAATCAAAATTACAGTTGCGTCCTGAAGATCCTGAAGCGTGCCAGAAAACTGTTCTCGAATGTTTGTAACCTCGCGAGTCAACGTGACTGTTGCGCCCTGGCAATCCTAAATCGTGCCACGACACCTTCCCGGGGAGTCCAGCCATAAGCGAATCTGTGCAACTTCTGTAAACTTCCAAGGCGGATTTGTGCGGCGCTCAGACCAGAGCCACATTTTGAAAGCGAGCCGCCCTCCGTTGTTTTAAGGCGTGTGCGCGGCGCTCCGGCGACAACCACATCTTGAAAATCACCCGGCCGCCATCCCTGAAATTCGTGCGAGCTTCTCAGGCGAATGTGCGCGGCGCGGAGGCGAGAGCCACATTTTGAAAACCGCCCGGCCTCCACATGCGTAAAGCACTGGGTGCCCCACTCTTTGCATTGGCGGGGGAGGGTGCCAGTCATGGGGGCGGTGGCCGCTCAGGGGGGGGGCTTCCCAGGTGCAGCGGGTGAGGCCTCTCTGCCATTCACCTCGACGAGCGCGGCTGGCGCCGCCGCCGCGCCGCCATTTGGGGGCCAAGACCTCCCTCGTGCCCGGTGGAAGCCCCCAGGGGCGGCCCGAAGGCCGACGTGCTGGGAGCCCGTCGCCTGCCTGCGCTCCTGGGGCCCCGCCGTCGGCCTCTGAGGCCCCCGGGCCCTTCTCCGCTGCCGGCGGCACCCCACATTTTGGGCCCCGCGGAAGCTGTACCGCCCAGGCCGCCTGCCGCCCACGCCGACCGCCTGCCGCTGCGGCGCTCCTCGCCTCCTGCTGCTGTGCCGCCACGCTGCTCGCCCTCACCGCCACCTTCCGCCGCCGCGCCGCCTGCCCCTCCTGCCTCGGACACGGGGCACCCCTGCGGGGCAGGGGGCCCTGGGGCGCCCCCCGGGGCACTGGCCCTACGGGGCCAAGCGGCCCAACAGGGAGGAGGACCCTCCACCGGGGGCCCCCCACGCGCCGCGCGCCGCCGCGCCACGCTGCCGCCTCGGATCCCCCTCTTCCCTCGTCCTTGTGATGTCTCTCTGAGATACAATGGGCTCACCCTCTTTCTCTCCTTCCCCCGTCTGTCTGCGGGACCTAGGTCCCGCATCTTTTTGTTTTGTACTATACTCCCCGAGAGGGAGCCCGACGGGGCCTTCCTGGGGGAAGCGGGAACGTCTGAAGACTTTCGTGCCGTGAGGAACCGAGGAACCGAGGAACCGAGGAGGAGGAGGAGGAGGAGGAGGAAGAGGAGGAGCAGCAGCAACAGCAGCAGCAGCAGAGCAGAAGGAGCAGGAATGGCCAGGAAGCAGGGGCGGAGGGAATCCGCCAGGGCGGTGTCGGGGAGCGGAGGCTGGCGGAGCCCGGCGACCCCTTGCGGCCCTCCGTCATCTCGCAGCTGCCCGCCGCTCGGCGCGGGGCGCGCGCGCGCGCCTCTGTGCGGCGCTGATGTGCAATGCATGGGACGCACGCGCGGGACGCACAAGGACATGCAGGTAGTTGCATCGGATTCACCGAGCGCGTTTCACTACTCGCAACACGCGTACTCGCATACGCCCGAAAACAACAATTATTCCTGTATGCAGTGGGTCGTAAGCCCCCAGCGGCAGATCCAGGCCATTTGCGAATAGTTCCTATGTGCGCGTAGAGAAACGCGCTTACCCACGCACGCAGAGGGACATACATGGGACGCGTACAGGTTTCGCCGCTACACGGGGGGGGAGGAGGTCGCCGATCACGAGACGTAGCAAGGACATTCTAGGACTGTGTGCTCATGTTGGTGCACAGGTGCGCTCGCGTATAGCTTACAAGTGCAGAGTCTGTAGTACGCCAGCCTCACGACGTTCAGGAGGGGGAACAGCACACAGACACAATGAATCGTCGATTCCCAGGAACTGTGGGAAAACATGTACACTGGGGGGGGAAGACAAACACCCAGAAAATATTTGAACATATGGGGAATCTGGTTACAGTGCCGTTTTCAATACATGCTGCGCTTGCGGATCATGTATTCAAATATGAGGGATTTAGTACTAAACAACGATGAGTTCATGCATACATGTATTCATAATTTAGTCATGTATTAAAACATCCTATATGCTTTAGAGTCCTATGTGTTAAACACTGCCCTGTCTTTGTGTCTGTTTGTTTGTGTGTCCCAGTTTCCCTTCCGACATCTGGCTTCCCGGGCGGCTTTTGGCCACACGCACCGCCCGCCCAGCAGCCCATGTATTTTGCGAGAGAGAGTTTCTCGAGCGTGCGCGTCGCCCATTCTCGTTGGGGCCCGCGCGTACCTCGCCCGCGTGCGCCCGGGGAGCGGGGGGGCGGCAGCGCCGACGGACACAGCAGCCCGCTGGAGGTCCGCGCGGGTTTTTTCGGATCGGCTTCTGTGGGGCGTGTCCCCCCCCCTACAGTGGGAATTTCGACGAAAGATAAAAGATACCCCAAAGATGCCCCCAAAAGGGCAAACAAATACCCCAAACATGCCCCAAAAGGGTCAAACATATGCCAAACATAGTCCCCAGACTATTTTTGGACCATGTTTTGACTATTTTTGGGGTATCTTTTTATTTTTCGTCGAAAATCCCCCTGTGGGGGGACAGGCCCGACTTGACGCTGGAGGTCCGCGCGGCTTTTTTTTTTCGGATCGGCGCCTGAGCCCCCGTGGCGGGGCCTCCGGCGCCGCCCCCGGAGGGTCCAGCGCCGATCCAGGAGCCCCTCGCGGGCCTCCACCAGGCGTGTGTGTCTGCGCAGTGCTCCCTTGGAGCCATGCGGGCCGCGCCGAGACGGTCGTCGTCGCCGTCGTGGCGTCGCCGTCTTCGTCGGAGTCGAGGGTGCGCTTCTCGAGGCTCTCGTCGCCACGATTGGACGCGGCCCAGCAAACTGTTCTGAGTATACTTCAGGGAGGAGGAGGACGAGGAGGAGGAGGAGGAGGAGGAGGAGGAGGGGGAAGAGGCGGAGGGGGAAGACGAGAAGGAGGAGGACCAGGAGGACGAGGAAGAGGAGGTGGAAAGTATTCTGAGTGGATTCCAGTGGGGGCGCTGGTGACAGTCAGTTTGGCCGCATTTTCGCTCAGACCATCCTCAGTCTCACAGGGTCGCGAGCCGCCCTCCCCCCCCTCAGCCCGTTATTCTGACCGTGGACTTGCCCCCCCCCCCCCCCCGCGCCACCTTGATGTCCTGGAGCGTATCCTGGGAGCGTCGGGGATGTGTCCGCGAGAGGTAACACTGTCTTGGAGGAGTCCTAGAGAGCGCATGCGGTGTCCTGGAGGGTACCCTGGAAGAGTCCCGGAGGGCGTCCTGGAAAGCGTCCTGAAGGGCACCTTGGCCGTATCAAGACCCGTGGCTGAGTTTTTCCGGCAGGTGGGCTGTTCCTTGCCCAGGGGTTCAGCCCGAACGTGTCCCGAGCCTTGCGATTCCAATGCTGGGAGCGCTCGACTCCTTGCTTGGGTGTTCGATTCCTGGTTTGTCCGTCGATTCCTGGTTTGAGTGTTCGATTCCTGGTTCGGGTGTTCGATTCCTGGTTTGGGTGTTCGATTCCTGGTTCGATTCCTGGGAAGTTCAGGGGTTTGGGTGTTCGATTCCTGGTCTGTGTCCGTCGACCGATCGAGAACGCGCGTGCCTCCCTCGGCCCACGGGGCCCTCACGAAGCTTGATTGGCTCGAGACCGCAATCTCATGATCACTCGCGGCATGCCTGATTGGCTTGCGCCCGCGGTGCATGCCACGTGGTTTCTCCCCGTCGGAGTCCGAGAAGTGGCCCCTTGGGGCGATCTTTGGGCCGTCTTGGCCACTCCTGGGCATTTTTTTTGGGGGGTTCCCTTGGGCCATTTTGGAACCATCGTGTTGGCCCAAGAGCCAATCGAAAGCGAAGGGGCGAGAAGACTCATCACATTGATGTTCCTTAGGTGTAGGACGGATGTTGACATCTTGGGGGGGGCCTTGGGAGGCCCCCCGTGGTCACTTCGAGCCGTGTTGGGGGAAGTCTTGAGGCTTCTTGGAGGCATGTTGGATGTTATCTTGAGCCACCTCGAGTTATCTTGTGCAATATCGGAGGCCGTTTTGGGCTACCTGGATGCTTTTGAGGCCTACGAGGAGGGCCCGCAAAACGTCCCTTCCAGACCCAGGGAGCAGGGATGGGAGTATGGGGGAGAGGTACACCTCTCCCCAGGGAGAAGATCAGGTCGATATACCTAAGCATCACCTACGTCCAAAGCAATGGTGGAATTCCGAAATCAGGGGACGAGTTGGTATAGTGGGAGGACGAGGAACAGGGCTAGGAGTGGCGCGGCGGAGGTCGCGGCGGAACAGAAAGGGGAGGTGGAGGAGGATGAGGAGGAGGAGGAGGCGGAGGAGGACTAGGAGGCAGGAGAATGATGAGGATGAGGAGGATGAGAAGCAAGAGGGGAGGAGGAGAGGAGGAGGAGGAGGAGGAGGAGGAGGAGGAGGAAGTAGGAAGGGAGGAGGAGAGGAGGAGGAGGAGGAGGAGGGGGGGGGAGGATGATGAGTTGGAGGAGGAAGGAGGATAGGAGGAGGAGGAGGAGGGGAGGAGGAGAGGAGGAGGGGCGGAGGAGTAGGATGAGATGAGGAGGAGGAGGAGAGGATGAGGCGGAGGCGGAGGAGGAGGAGGAGGAGGAGGAGGAGTAGCTCAGGAGTAGGAAGGAGAGGGGATGAGGAGGAGGAGGAGGATGGGAGGGGAGAGGGGGCAGAGGAGGGGAGGGGGTGGGGGAGGGGGGGAGGAGGGAGGAGGAGAGGAGGAGAGGAAGAGCGGGGAGGCCTGAAGAGGAGAGGAGTAGCGAGAAGAAGGAGGATGAGGAGGATTCCGAAGAGGTAGACAGGAAGGGAGGAAGAGGAGAGAAGAAGGAGAAGGAGGAGGAGGAGGAAGAGGAGAGGAGCGGAGGACAGGGGAAGGAGGAGGAGGAGGAGGAGGAGCAGGAGGAGGAGGAGGAGAGACGAGGACGAGGAGGAGGAGGAGGCGGAGTGGGGGGGGAGGAGGGAGAGGAGGAGGAGGAGGAGGAGGAGGAGGAGGAAGGAGGAGGGGAGGAGGAGGAGGAGGCGGAGGAGAGGAGGAGGAGGAGGAGAGGAATAGAGGAGGAAGGAGGAGGAGGAGAGGAGGGGAGGAGGAGGATGAGAGGAGGAGGAGGAGAGAAGGGGAGGAGGAGGAGGAGGAGGAGGAGGAGGAGGAGGATGAGGGGGAGGAGGGAGGAGGTGAGGAGGAGAGGGAAGAGGAGGAGGAGGAGGAGGAGGAGGAGAGGGAGGGAGGAGGAGGAGAGGAGGAGGAGAGGAGGAGGCAGGCGGAGGAGATGGGAGCGGGAGGAGGAGAGGAGGAGAGGAGGAGGAGGGAGGAGGAGGAGGAGGAGGAGGAGGAGCGAGGAAGAGGCTCGATGAGCACGAGGAGGGAGTACGAGGAACGAGGAGAAGGACAAGGAGGAACGATGAGGAGGGTGAGGACGAGGAGGAGGAGGAGGAACAAGAGGAGGAGCAATGGGAGGAGGAGGACGAGAAGGAGGAGGAGGATGCAAGAAGAGGAACACGATGATGCTGAGGAGGAGGATGATGCGGAGGAGGAGGAGGAAGAGGAGGAGGAGGAGGAGGTGGAGGGGTGGAGGGAGAGAACGAGGAGGAAGAGGAACATGACGTTGAGGATGAGGAGCAGTGTGAGGGGGCGCATGACATGAGGAGGAGGAGGTGGAGGAGGGATGAACATGATGATGCTGAGGAGGAGGAGGAGGCGGAGGAGGAGGAGGAGGATGAGGAGGACGAGAAGGAGGAGGACGAGGAGGAGGAGGCGGAGGAGTGATTGAATGAGAGAGTGAGGGAGGGATGGAGGGAAGGATGGAGGAGAGAGGAGAGAGGAGGATGAGGCACGCGCGAGGGAGGATGGAGGAGGGAGGATGAGGCACGCGCGAGGGAGGAGGGAGGGGAGAGCAGGGAGGAGGCAGCAGAGGGGGATAGACGAGGGAGGATGGAGGAGGGTGGAGGGATGACGGAGGAGGGAGGAGGGAGGAGGGATGACGGTGGAGGTAGAGTGAGGAGCAAGGAGGAAGACGGCATGAGGGAGGAGGGGGAGGGAAGAGGGAGGAGGGACGAGAAGAAGGGAGGAGGAAGGACGGATGATAGAGGAGAGAGTAATGAGGACAGAGGAGGAGGGAGGTGGAGGGGGGATGAGGAGGATGGGGAGGAGGAGGAGGCGAAGGAGGAGGAGGATGAGGAGGAGCATGAGGACGATGGAAGAGGGAGGACTGAAGAGGGAGGAGGGAGGAGGGATGAACGAGGAGGGTGGAGGGATGAGGGAAGATCAAGGAGGAACGAGGGAGGAGGGAGAATGGATGATGGAGGAATGATGCGGCAAGGTGGAGGAGGGACGAGGGCGCAGGGATGAGGGATGATGGATGATGGACCTGGGAGGAGGAGGGCGGGAGGAGGGGGGGGGATGCGGAGGATGCGGAGGATGATGATGATGATGAGGAGTATGATGATGATGAGGAGGATGAGGATGATGATGATGAGGAGGATGAGGAGGAGGATGAGGAAGATGACGACGAGGAAGAGGAGGAGGAGGATGCGGAGGAGGCGGATGAGCAGGAGGTGACGAGGAGGAGGAGGGATATGAGGAGGCGGCGGAGGATGCGGAGGAGGACGAGGAGGATGAGGATGATGCGGATGAGGAGGAGGAGGAACGATAGGATGAGGAAGAGGAGGACGATGATGATGATGCTGATGATGCTGATGATGGTGATGCTGACGTTCATGATGATGCTGATGATGCTGATGATGCTGATGCTGCTGTTGCGGCTGCTGATGATGATGACGATGATGATGATGCTGATGCTGATGCTGATGATGATGATGCTGATGCTGCTGATGATGATGATGATGATGATGATGATGATGTTGATGCCGATGATGCTGACTATGATACTGATGATGCTGATGCAGCTGATGATGATGATGATGATGCTGCTGTTGATGATGATGATGCTGATGCTGCTGATGCTGATGATGCGGATGCGGAGGAGGATGATAAGGAGGAGGAATAAGAGGAGATACGGACGGCGGCTAATGCTAATACTGGTAATACGACGACTCACAGTTATTTTAAGGCGAACAAGGCTACGACGTAGCATACTAAGCAGACTATGCGCGCTACTCACGCTAAGACGGCGACGGCTACGCAGACTGACAACGAGACGACCACTAACGCCTGGAACAAGGCTAATCATAGTCTTAGCCTTTGTTGGTAAGACGACTACCACGAACCATACGAACCTTATTACGAACCATGCGGTTAATACGAAGAGACATGACATTGTACATAGCGCTGGTACTACGAAGCAGACAAGGAGGGGGATGGGGAGGAGGAGGAGGAGGAGCAGGAGGAGGAGGAGGAGGAGGATGAAGAGCGAGGAGGAGGAGGCGGAGGAGGAGGAGGAGGAGGAGGAGGAGGAAGAGGAGGAGGAGAATGATGAGGAGGAGGAGGAGGAGCGAGCAGGAGGAGCGAGGAGGACTAGGACGAGGAGGAGGCGAGATGAGCTAGGAGGAGGGGCGAGGACGAGGAGCGAGGACGAGGAGCAAGGACGAGGAGCGAGGACGACGAGGAGCGAGGAGGAGGGGACGATGAGGAGGAGCGAAGAGGATGACGAGCGAGGAGGGGGAGGATTAGAAGGAGGTGGAGGAGGAGGAGGAGGAAGAGGAGGAGGAGAAGGAGGAGGAGGAGGAGGAGGAGGAGGAGGAGTAGGAGGAGGAGGAGGGAGAAGGTGGAGAAGGAGGAGGAGGAGGGGGAGCAGGACGAGGAGGAGGAGGGGGAGGAGGAGGAGGAGGAGGAGGAGGAGGAGGAGGAAGAAGAGGGTGGGCAGACGGAGGACGCGCGCGCGGGCCACTGGGTTGCGCAAGCGGCGGCGCCTCCTCCCAAGGTTCACCGTGATCCAGCGCGCGAGCGCCGCCTCGGCTGCTGGCGGGCCCCGCGGCGCCAACGGCGAGGTGGACGGCTCGAGCCCCTTCTGGGGGTCGAGTACGAATGCCACAGTTTTACTCGTCGTGACGTCGGTGTTTTTTATCCATCGTCGTCGCCTCTCGCAGTCGCTGACGTTCCCCTCGTCGTCTTTCATCATCCCGATGACGACTCTCGGTGGCGGCGGCGTTGGTGTCACCGAGGAGGAGTAGGAGGAGGAGGAGGAGGAGGAGGAGGAGGAGGAGGAAGAGGGGGGAGGAGGAGGGGATGGTGGCAGAGATGGACTCAAGCGGGACGAGGGAGGAGGAGGAGGAGGAGGTGGGGGAGGAGGAGGAGAAGGAGGAGGAGGAGGAACTTCCCAGGTTTTCTCCCGCAGTCAGCAGCGTTCGCCGAGTGCTATGCCCTTCTCTCTGCTCTTCAGCATCTGGAGGAGGTGGAGCAGGGCAGCACAGAGGAGTATACCATACACGTCGAGTGCAAATCCCTTTGCAGCGGCTACGAGAATCCCAGGTCAGCGGCATCTGGTCACAGCCCAGTGGCAGAGACCTGGGAAGTACTCTACTCGGGCACGCCCCCAGCATGGAGGCTTTCTAAACTGAGGGCCTGTGCGCGGCGCTTCGGCGAGAACCACGTTTTGAAAACGATCCGCCCTCAATCCGTGAAGCTCTTGCAAATGTTTAAAACGAAGGTGCGCCGCGCTAAGGCGAGATCCACATTTTGATAACGACCCGCCCTCAATCCGTGAAACTCTTGCAAATGTTTAACGCGAATCTGCGAGAGCCACTCTTTGAAAACGCCTCGCCCTCCACCTGTGAAGCTGTTGCCATTTTGTAAGCTTCAGAGTCAGAAATGGTGAGGGAGTCTCAGGCGAAACGCCCGGCCCGCCCTGAAAACTGGCACCGGGGTGCGACAGGGAGAAGTTATTTACGAGGACAAGGAATGGAGGAGGAGAAAAGGAGGAGGAGGAGGAGGAGGAGGAGGGGGAGGAGGAGGAGGGGGAGGAGGAGGAGGAGAGGGCGTGCCGAGGGCATCGTGGTAAGTACCACCAGACACTGCCCACCCCACAGTCCAGAGTCCAAGGAGGGAGGAGGGAGGGAGGAGGAGGGAAGAGGAGAGAAGCGGAGGGAGAAACAGGAAGAGCAGGAAGAGAGAGCAGCAGGAGTAGGAGGGAGGAGGTCAGGAGGGGGGAGGAGGGAGGAGGATATGAGGGAATCGGGAGGGAGGGGAAGCGGGGAGGGGGGAGGGGGAGGGAGGATGGGGAAGGGGGATGACTGAGCAGGAGGAGGAGTTGGACGACGACGGCGACGACGACGACGGCGACGACGACGACGATGACGGCGACGGCGACGACGGCGACGACGACGGCGACGGCGACGGCGACGACGAAGACACCGCCGCGTGTCCTCAGCGGCTCGACCGCTTTTGGCGCCGCGCGCGGGCCTACCGCCGAGCGCCTATGCGGCCGGAGGCCGCGCCCGAAGGCCCCTCCTCCTACTCCTCCTCCTTCTCCAACTCCTCCTCTTCCTCCTCCTCCTCCTCCTCCTCCTCTCCAACTTCTCCTCCTCCTCCAACGCGCGGCAGGCGCTGCCCCTCCCGCGGCGCCGCGGGCCAGTGGGGCCCTGGGGCCCGTGGCGGCCGCGGAGGTCGAGGGGTGGGTGTCGCAGCAGCTCTCCGAGCTGGAGCCCCCCGCGGGGGGGAGGAAGGCCGGAGGCCGGCCAGTCGAGAGGCCTCGGGAGCCCCGAGACGGGGGTCGATGCAAACGGGGGTCAGCCAGAGCGCCCGATCCTGCAGGATCCTGCAGGGCCAGGGGTGCACTGACCCGGGTTTGGGTGCAGGATCCTGCAGGACATCCTGCGCGCTGACCCGGGTTTGGGTGCAGGATCCTGCAGGCATGGCCTGACTGCCCCGGGTCTGGGTTGACCCGTGTCGGAGGATCCCCGAGGGCCGCGGCGGCCGCCTCCCCGCCGGAGGTCGCTCTGCTTCTGGGGCCTCCGCGGGCGAGTGCTCGCCGCCATGGCTGGACGCCCTCCTGGCATCAAGTCGGGCCTGTCGCTCCACAGGGGAAACTCTTAATCGTAAGAAAACAGTTCGCGGGCGAGGTCTTTGTCCAAAATTCGCCTGTCGGGGGACATGCCCGACCTAACCAGGGCTGCATGTCTGCCTGGCAAGCTGGGTCACAGGATGGATCCCTGGAGGGGTCCGGGGGGGTGATCTTGAGCGGGGTGGAGCTCAGCGGAGGTGCGCCGCCGTGGTCTCAAGAGGCCCTCCGAGAGAGGAGGGAGGAGGGCAGGCTATAGGTTCTGGCAAGACTTCCGTCCGTATCCACTGTTGTCTGGATTTTCGGGTTCCCTTCCAAGAAAACCGAGGCGCACTGGATATTGATAAAAGATCTGACCCTTAGAGGCTCGATTTTTATCCACATCCAGTGCACCTCGGCCTTGTTGCGCCCCTTCCAAGAAAGTGCAAGACGCACTGGATACGGATGTAAATCTTGCCCACGAGGAGGGCAGGCTGGGGGGACCCAGCGGCCTGGAGCTCAGGTGCCCGGTGGGGGCGCGAAGATCCCCGCGCTCCGCGCGCCGCGGTCTGGGGCGGAGGGCTGCCATGCTCCAGGGCGCGGACATAATCGTGCATCGCGCACCTCGGGGGCGCAGTGCACGAACTTGGTGCGGGCCCCACGAGTATACACGACCACCGCGTCGATTCCTCCTCCCTTCCCCACCTTCTCCTTCCTCCCCTCCTCCCTGGGAGATGGAGAAGGGGAGGTCGGTGGTGGTTGGGGTGTATATTTGTGGTCTTCCTTCCCATCTCTGGTTAATCCAAGCGTCGCGCGGCCCGCTTAGCTTCGACCGGAAGAGGTGCGCTCTCGACCCGCGAATCAAACAAGTGTATAGTTGTGGTCCCTGAACTTAGGTCGTCTGGGTCTTGATGGGCGCGGCGAGGCGAGGCGAGGGCCCATCACAACGCTCCCTCGCGATGCCGTCAAGGGCCCCGCTGCCTGGCCGCGGCGGGTACTCCCCGGGGCCTCCAGGGCAGGACGGAGAGGCTTGGGTCTATCTCGGGGGCGGCAAAGAGGGGGGTGATGACTAGGGGGGGGTGGATATCATGGCGTGGGCCGTGATATCCCCCCAGAATTCATGGCGCCTCTTCTCATTTCATTACGTCCCTGGCCCCCTCGCTGGTCCGCGCACATGCCGCCGGTCATGATTTGCACCCCCCCCTCTTGGACACCCCCCTTTTGGCCGCTCCCGATTTATCTGGTTGGAGTCACAGCTTCAATGTAGAGGCAGCTGGCACCATGTGGTGCATGGACGATCGGCTGTTCCCAAGGGTTTGGGGAGCGTTACGCCCCCAGGCGGGTTTCAGACAGAGGCTCTTTTGACTTTCTGCATCGTGAATGGAAGAGCACCAATGGCATGGCTCCATGATTTCTGTTCAAGCCTCCGGTGGACTCCGTCCAAGATAACGTAACTAATCAGACGTCTTCATTTGTATTCACGCATGCATATGTATAGGTATACATATTAATTTATAAAAAGGCATCAAGTGTCGCAGGTCCGCACGCAATTCTTGGGCCCGCGGCAGGCCCCCCCTGGCGATGCTTTTGGCGCCGGCCCTGGCTCACGCAGCGCACTAGGGGATGAGGGTCCCGACCCAAAGAATTTGCGATTTCCTCGAAGAGTCCGTGTTCAGTTTGGGGGCCAGCGCCCTCTACCTGGGGTGGCCAGCGCCCCAGGGAGAAAGCTCCACTTGAGGCAGGGCAGCGCGTAAGGCTGGTTCGCTCGCGATCAGAGTTCGTGCGGAGCGCGGCTCCTGACGCCAGGGGGAAGACCAGGGGTGCCGGGGTGGCGCGTCCGACCCCCAGCAAACCGACCCCTGCCGCGGCGACCCCTTCCGCGCCGTTCCAGCACCGACCTGACGGGGAGGCCTGCGCCAATGAAGCAAACGATTCGAGCTCCCGATCCCGAGGCAGCCGTTCCCCACGACATCCGTGTTTCGGCGCTCCGGCGCCCCCGCCGAGCTCTTTCTTGGAGGGCGCCCCCCCGCCGGTGGACGATGCTCAGCACTGCTTGGGTACCTTCGGCGACCGAGCCCTCAAGCGTGCCGCTTGTACATCAGGCTGGGCACTCAGGCCCGAGCGCGTCGCGTGCTGTTGGCACTGCGATGCCTTGCGCTGCGCGGCACGGAGCGGCATCGCCTTCGCATGGTCTGGCGCTGCTCGGCATGGCTGCGGGGCGGGAAAGGAACGAGGCACGGGAAGGCCGAAAGCCCGAGGAGCGCAGCAAGACCCCTGGGGCGTGCCTCGGCGCCCCGCCTCGCCCTGATGGGCTTGTTTCCCACCACCACCACCACCATAAGTTGGAGTGGGAAGGATGCGGAGGAAGAGGACGAGGACGAGGACGAGGACGAGGACGAGGAGGAGGAGGAGGAGGAGGAGGAGGAGGAGGAGGAGGAGGAGGAGGAGGACCCCCTCCCCCTCCTACTTCTGGTGGTGGTGGTGGTGGTGGAAAACGGGCCCACCATCGCCCTGCTCTGCCCTGCCCCCTCGCCTCGCTCCGCGGCTCGGGCAGGCGGCCGGAGGGGGGCGCGGTCGAGGGCGGCCAGGGCTCGTCGCGCGAGGGGCCCGTCGCGGAAGGGGGCCGCTCGGGCCCAGCAGGGGGGTGGAGGGGGAGGAGGAGGAGGAGGAGGAGGAGGAGGAGGGAGGAGGAGGAGGAGGAGGAGAGAGGAGGAGGAGGAGGAGAGGAGGAGAGGAGAGGAGGAGAGGAGGAGGAGGGGGAGAGGAGGAGGAGGAGGAGGAGGAGGAGGAGGAGGAGGAGGAGGAGAGAGGGAGAGGAGGAGGAGGAGGAGGGGAGGAGGAGAGGAGGAGGAGGAGAGGAGGAGGAGGAGGAGCAGGAGGGAGCAGGAGGAGGGGGAGGGGAGGGGGAGGGGAGGGGGAGGAGGGGAGGAGGAGGGGAGGAGGAGGAGGAGGAGGAGGAGGAGGAGGAGGAGGAGGAGGAGGAGGAGGAGGACGAATCTATAAACACTCAGCATATCTGCACCTGCTCGTGTCCATCCATTCTCTTTCCCCTTCTCCTCCTTCCTGCTCCGCCGACCCCAAGACCCCGCCCATACAGGGGCGTAGGCCCCGCGCCAGGGCTCGGCCCAAACTGTGTGTTGGGCGCTTTCGTGGGCCGTTTTCGTGCTGATCTCGTTCTGCAGCCAATGCGTGACGAGGGATATACACAACGAAAACTGAAAGCAGTGTTTCGGTCGAGCCTTGCCCCGCGCCGTGCTCAGAAGGCGTCGGGATTCCATCGGCGGCTTGACTTGCTCTGCAGTGCGTGCGCCAGGCGGGCCCGAAGGAGCTGGCCCTGGGTGCCCGGGTCGACCCGCGGGTTGCTCTGGGCCGCTGGATTGTTGCTTTGGCTGCTTGCGCCGCTGTGGGGCCACCGGAGCGCGCGTGCGGATCGCCTCTGCCGCGCTGTGACGGACGACAAAAGCCAGGTGCTTGTGCCGCGCTGTGGCCTCCCCGCTCTGGCCCCGTGTGCCGCGCTCGGGCCCCCTCGTGGCCCTGCTGCCGCCCTCGCCAGTGGGCTCTTTTTGGACCGCGGAGGCTTCCCGCCTTTCTCTCGCTCCGTGTGCTGTCTGGGCCCGCGGGTGCTTGGGCCGTCGTGGCCTTTGCCTGGGCCGGCTCTCCACCCCTTCGGCCCCGTGCGCTGCCATTCGCCGCGTGGGCTTTCCGCCCGTGGGCGCTCGGACCCCTATGGCAAGTTTCTCCACCCACGACCCACAATCCCCAACTCTGATGACACAATGAGTTCGTGGCCTGACTCAGGTGCAAGTTTTTCAGGGGCGCTCCTAGACATCAGCGCTGCCTCGCCTGATCCATCGGCAACACGCCCTCCTGTCCCTGTTGTTTTTGGCCGTCTTGACTTAGGTCCACTCCGAAAGGGTCTGGGGTCATCCACAACGATGGAGGTCCACACACAAGCAATCGCACATACATTAATTCCCACACGAATTCAACACATCACCAGTCTGGTGTGCCAACGCTGGCATCATTCTATCGAGGGTTGTGCGTGCGAGTGTTTCCTCCCACACCCGGCACATACAGTTCACAATTCAAATGAAACAAGTACCCTGTCTTGCGCCTAGTAACAGAACCATGTGTAGTGTAGCCTGCCCTTGCGCCCTGCATGTTTCTGTTTGGTTCAGTGCCAGCGTCGTGTACGCAGTGCGTCGGCGACACATCGTCGATACCATGCCGTTGTTTACCCCCCCTCCTTTGCCTTCGCCGTACATTGCCCTCAGGAGCGCGCTGCCGAGGAGGAGCTGCGGCGCCAGGACCTGGAGGCCGCCGCCCAACCTCAGTCTGTATGCGCTGATCTGTCGAATGTATTCAACATCGACCGATGCGTTTTGACCACTGGGGTCACGACAGGAATCTTTTCACGCCTGCAGTCGATCTGTCGTCGCTTCGACGACCGCCGACGATCGGTGTCAACAGCCGTTCTCGCTGGTGACATCGCCGAATCTGTGAACGGGGCAAGTTGCAGAATAACAGGAGATCCGTGCTTCAATTTTAGTTAATGCGGCCAGATTTGGTGGCTGTCCCTATCCACGGGCTCTTCACCAAAGGAGGCGTGTTTAACATGTGAGAGTGCTGTGCTTCATCGTCACGTTTGCCCTTGCATCCTTGTTTGATCGGCCCGTCCTTGCCACATTTGTGTCTGCCCGCTCAAAAGTCGATTGGTCTGGCACTAATGCTGATGTTTGTGTGTGTGTGTGTGTCGACATGGGTGTCCAATGATCTTTCGGCGTATGCTTTTGCATCCCCACTCCGGGGTCCGGTGCCCCACTGTAGTTTCAGACCTACCACGGTTTACGGCGGTCCTGAAGATGATCCCAGAGCTCCGGACCCCATCCCCAGGGCTGGTTCTTGGCAGCCCCGCGGCCACAGTGCGGGCCTGGAGGTCGGAGTCGTGATGCGGCGTCCACTGCGTTTGCTGCTGCACTGAGGGTCTGGGACAGAGCCCCCGCCCGGTCGTCGCGTAATGGAAGTCCTGGAGGTGCGATCAAGAGGAGGGGCAGCGAGGGCTCCAGAAGAGGGCCCCTCCAGGCCCCTGAAGGGGCCCTCGAGGGCCCATGACTGGGCCTGTGGGGTTCGAGAAGTCACCTCTCTGTTCCCCCACCACTTGTCGCCCCCCCGAGGGAGCGAGGCGCAGCGCGCCCCCCTCCTCCCCCCCTCCTCCCAAGTCCCGTTCGGGCACCCGGCCAGCGCTGCCCACGAGGCCAGGATGCCCTTCTGGGTCAGGAGGGGGAAGCCACACACAGGAACAAGTGATCGGCGACTCCCAGGAGAACATGGAAAAATCTGGGAAGTGGGGGGGAAGACGAAATACCAGAAAATAATGGAAAATACGGGGGATCCTAAGATTTATGTGTATTTATTTATGTCCCCGGGCCCCTTTGGAGAGGTGGGGAGGGGCGCGCCTTCCCGAAGAGTAGCGATCGCAGTCCGTGGCCTCGTGTCGGTCGGACTCGGACATGCCCGTACTGCGCCTGTTTCGCCGCTTCGCTTCCGAGGGGGGCCACGCGCGCAGCGAAACATCGTGTAGTGCGATCGTTTTTCGTCCTCCGGCGCTTGATGGCCGTCACCGGGTCAATTTCTCCTCCCCCCCTCCAGATGGGATGGGGGGGGACGCCGACGCCGACGCCGCCGACGCGAACGCCGACGCGAACGCCGACGCGAACGCCGACGCGAACGCCGACGCGAACGCCGACGCGGACGCCGACACCGACACCGACACCAACGCCAACGCCGTCGACGCCGACCGACGACGACGACGACGAGCCACCCCACACCCAGAGTGGGAGGGAGGGGGGGTGCTCCGTCGCCCCCACTATCGGGCCGGGCGAAAGGGGGGGATTGGGAAAGGGGGGATTACGAAATTTGCTGCATGCAGCTGGTTTCGGCTTCACCGAGGGGCCCATTCCTCGATACATAGCCGCCTCCGGCGCTGGGAGGCGCCGGGAAAATCAGCTACGTGAGCTGATTCTCAAACCCCCCTTTGCTATCCCCTCCTTTCGCCCGAGCCGAGAGGGGGGTGCTCCGTCACCCCCACTGCGCCACGCCCACGGGGGGGGGGGACGGTCCCATCTCGCGAGGCCTTCGCGAGGCTCACGGGCGCACCCGTCCAGCGGAGGGGAGGCTCGATCCCTTATGCATTTGGGGGGGACAGCCCTGTGTCGTAGATGTGGCGCAGTCTATGTGTAGCAAGCTGCGTGGTGCCATCTAGGTGGTGCAATCTATGGCTTGCGATATATGTTGCGCAATGTATGTAGAGCAAGGTGTCTGGTGCCACATCTACGTGCAATCCATGCTGTGATATATGTGTATATGTATATATGTACATATATATATATATATATAGATGGTGCAATTCATGCTGTGCCAACTATGGTGTGCAATCTTGTTGGTGCAATCGAATCTAGGAGTCAATCCACTTTGTGCAATCTCTTCGGTGTAAGTAATATTGTGTGTTCTATGTGGAGCAATGTAGGTTGTTCAATCGATGTTGTGATAACATGTTGTGTAAGTTCTGGTGTGCATAATTGGTGCAGTCTTATGTTGTGAAGTATAGTTTGTCTATTTTGGTGGTGTAATTTTTGTGGTGCAATCTATGTGGCGCAAATCACCAACGCTTAATTTGAAGATGTCAGCTCCACTGCCCGCGCAATCGTCCCACCCTCACACCTGCAACTTTGTCGGCAAAACCCATGCGGAAGCGATTGCGATGAGAGCTTGGTCTTGGCCAGCGCATCTCTGCGGCCGCGCTAGTCCGCACATGCACGCGCGCGCAGCCGCCAACTGGCTTGGCGCGACCGGCGCGGCCGCAGTGGCACTGACCGCTTGGCATTCGCCAGCGGACACTTCTGTGCGAATCGGCGACTTGGGAGGGCGCGGTCTGATGGCAACGTCGACAAAGGTCACGCCGACGACGATGACGGTTCTTGTCGCGTCGGTGATGAAACTTTTGGAAGGAGTTTGACATGTGCGCGCGGGCGACGCGCAAAAACGGCCCGCATGGCATTATTTGACACGGATTGATTCCCCCAGCACGCGCGCAAGGCCTTTGCGAATGATTTTGGCATGCGGCGCGAGAAGCCTGTTTAGCAGAATTCCGAGCAACCGTTGGGAAACCGATTGTTGTTGTAAGGGTTCGCAGGGACGCGAACGCATGATTTTTTTGAACACTGTTGTTGCGAAGCCATTAAACAACAAACTGGTGTTTGGACATTCGGTTTTGAAATTTCTGTGACACCTAACTATGTTGAGGGTTTGTGGTATGCCCGCGCGTCGACGCGCGCGTGCTTTTCGCCGCGTTGTTTGCAACCGGTTCTTGCGACAGCGCGCGAGCAAGTGCGTTCGAGCGGTTTTGACTTGCGCGCGCGAAGCTCCTTTGGTAGCATGTTGTGATCATTTAGTAGCACCGATGGTTTTCTTCAGAATTCGCATAAGCGCGTATATGTTTTTGAACGTTCTTGTTTCGACACCATGTGTTGTTCTATGGTTTGTTGTTTGGCCCCCTTTTTTGAAAGTTTCTGGCGCCGAAAGTTTTGAAGAACTTCGGCATGCGCGCGCGTGCGCACTTCATCACATTATTGGTTCGGGGTTATAGAAGTCAGTGGAGTTTTGATAAACGGGTATGCGCTTATAGTTTTTTTGATGATAATGAGGGGGATCGATGCCGATTCAGCTGGGATGCTACGAATTCGCATTTGGGATGGACGATGGGGCAGGATCGTGTAACTGGCAATACGAAAATGTGACCTGTTAGCCCTGGGGGGGTAGATCTTAATTCTGTTGTAGGTCGGAAAATCAGTGTGATGCTTTATATGTGGAGGCTCTATGTGGTACAATCTTGTGCAAGTTACGTGGTTCAAAAGATGCTGTGCAGTACGTGGTGCAATCCACTGAGTACCCTGCTCCGCGCTTGACCACATCCCATGCTCTTGCATATCCCATGCGGTGGCGATTACGTTGCATGCTTGGCGTTGACTGTTGCATCTTTGCGGCCGCGCAGACCCGCGCATGCTCGCGCGCACAGCGGACAGCTAGTTCGGCTCGACCGGCGCGGCCGCAGTGGTGCTGATCGTCTGACACTTCCCAGCGGGCTCTTCCGTGCGAAGCGGTTATTTATGCGGGCGCACTATCATGTCGACGCCGACAATGGTAGACACGATTATGGGAGTAACGGTGCTGACGGAAATGGCGATGACGACGGCAAGGCCAATGACGGCGCCGATGCTGTTCACGCCGACGACGATGACGGCTCTTTCGCGTCGGTGATGAAGTTTTTGGAAGGAGATCGACATGCGCGCGCGGCCGACGCGCGAACCTGGCCCGCATGGTATTCTTTGACACGGAGCGATCCCCCCCCAGCACGCGCGCAAAGCCGTTCGAATGACTTCGACTTGCGGCGGGGGAGTCACATGATGGAAGGCCGACGGTTACTGGTGTTTTACATTTTTTCTTTGAACCCCCGGGTGCGAAATCGTTGCGACGCCGACGGTGTTTGGGGTTCCCCCTTTTTTGTTTTTAGGATTTCGGCATGCGCGCTACGACGCGCGCGCGCATGTCGGTCCATGTTTTCCAACATGATATTTGCGACAACGCGCGCGCAAAACAACGTTCTAACGATGTCGAATTGCGCACGCGAAGCCCGCTTGGTAGCATTCCATGGAATTCAGATAACCAATAGTTGGTGTAACTATTCACAGGAGCGGGCGCACGTCAATAATTTTATGTGTACGTATACAATTGTTATACGATGTAGGGATATCTGTGTAATTATATATATGTATATATTATATACATATGCGCACCACCTTATACATATAAACACATATATATATACACACTTCGTTGCGACACCATGGTTTGTTTTGTAATTTGTGGTTTAGACACCCGAGTTTGACATCCTGACACAATCTCCTTTTCTGGTGATTCCAGCTTGCGCGCGCGACGACGCGCGCGTGTGGAATGTTTGGTTTACAACGAACGCGCGCGTATTGTCAGTTTTGCAGAAGATTAGGAAGGGGCCGAAAGCGGGCTTGCTGGGATGATTTGAGTTTATGCTTCGGATGGGCGATGGGGTAGAATCCTATGTAAATTCAACTACGAGAAGGTGACCCGTTAAGTCCAGGGGGGGAAGGTAGGTTTTTTTTGTTTATATATATATATCAAGGGGAGTTTATGTGTTTTAACCTTTGTTGTGTAGGCTATGACATTCAATCTATTGTATGCAATATAGGTTTGCGACATACGCGTTGCAATAGATGTTGTGCGACCTGGGAAGTGCAATACATACACATACGTATACACTTAATTCCCCATATCCTAAGATGGGGTTCTTGTTATTACTTGGACGCCTCCTACTCCTTCTTCTTCTCCTCCTCCCCTCTTCTCGTTTCCTCCTACTTAGACTCACTCATACTCAGATTCACTCATACACAGACTTACTCATACACAGACTTACTCATACACAGACTCACTCATACTCAGACCTGATCACATTAACTTACTCATACTCAGACCTACTCATACCCAGACCTACTCATACTCAGACTTACTCATACTCAGACTTCCTCCTTCTCCTCCTCCTTTTACTCAGAGTTCCTCATACACAGACTTACTCATACTCAGAATTACTCATACTCAGACCTTCTCATTGTCTGACTTATTCGATAAACAGCAGATTGCGAGGATGTCTCAGGCGGGGCGCTGGTTTCAGCACCCCTAAGGGGAGCCGCCGAGGGGTGTTGCACGGTCCCGTTCGCGGCCGTTTTGTGGGGATGTCTCAGGCGGTTTGCCTGTTTGTCTTGCCAACATCCTTCGCTTTCGGAGCAGATTTGGAGGATGTCTCGAGCGAGGCGCTCATTTTCACCCCCCAGGTGGGCCAGATTTTGAGGATGTCTCGATCGGTTTGCTTGTTTTGGTGGCCAGGCTCGTGGCCCTAAGGGGAGCCGCCGAGGGGTGTTGCACGGGCTCGTTCGCGGCCGTTTTGTGGGGATGTCTCAGGCGGTTTGCCTGTTTGTGTGCCAACATCCTTCGCTTTCGGAGCAGATTTGGAGGATGTCTCGAGCGAGGCGCTCATTTTCACCCCCCAGGTGGGCCAGATTTTGAGGATGTCTCGATCGGTTTGCTTGTTTTGGTGGCCAGGCTCGTGGCCCTAAGGGGAGCCGCCGAGGGGTGTTGCACGGTCCCGTTCGCGGCCGTTTTGTGGGGATGTCTCAGGCGGTTTGCCTGTTTGTCTTGCCAACATCCTTCGCTTTCGGAGCAGATTTGGAGGATGCCTCGAGCGAGGCGCTCATTTTCACCCCCCAGGTGGGCCAGATTTGAGCATGTCTCGATCGGTTTGCTTGTTTTGGTGGCCAGGCTCGTGGCCCTAAGGGGAGCCGCCAGGGGTGGTTGCACGGGCTCGTTCGCGGCCATTTTGTGGGGATGTCTCAGGCGGTTTGCTTGTTTCTGGGCCAACATCCTTCGCTTTCGGAGCAGATTTGGAGGATGTCTCGAGCGAGGCGCTCATTTTCACCCCCCAGGTGGGCCAGATTTTGAGGATGTCTCGATCGGTTTGCTTGTTTTGGTGGCCAGGCTCGTGGCCCTAAGGGGAGCCGCCAGGGGTGGTTGCACGGGCTCGTTCGCGGCCATTTTGTGGGGATGTCTCAGGCGGTTTGCTTGTTTCTGGGCCCAAATCCTTCGCTTTCGGAGCAGATTTGGAGGATGTCTCGAGCGAGGCGCTAATTTTCACCCCCAGGTGGCCAGGACTCAGGGCCCCAGGAGACCACATGAGGTCCCAGGAGGCATCAGGAGGCCACAGAAAGACTCAAGAGGCCACAGGATGTCCCAAGAGGCTCCAGGAGGCCCCAGGAAGCTCCAGAAGGCCTCAGGAAACCACAGGAGGCCCCAGGAGGCAACAGGAAGCGCCAGGAGGCCTCGGAAGGCAACAGGAGGCCCCGAGAGGCCCCAGGAGCAGGAGGCCTCAGAAGGCAACAGGAGTGGCTCCAATCCCATGTGTTTTACGTATGCTCCTATCGATTGGGCCTCACCTGGAGCACGATTCTTTGATGTTCTACGTATGTTTCTATAGATGGTCCTTCTCCTGTGTACACAATCCTAAATGTTTTACTCATGTTCCTATATATTGGGCCTCTCCTGGGGCACGAGTCCTTGGTGTTTTACGCGTGTTCCTATAGATTGCCCTTCTCCTGTGGCTCTAATCCGCAATGTTTTATGTACGTCTGTTGCTATATATTGCGCCTCTCCTGGGGCACGAAACCTTCCTAGGAGGTCCCAGGAGGTCCCAAGAGGCTCCTGGAGACCCCAGGAAGCCCCAGTAGGTTTCAGGAGGCCCCAGGAGGCCCCAGGCTCATGCACAGAGACGCGCTCGTACTACTGAGGCTCATTCACACTCCAATTCATTCGCAGTTAGATTGATGTCCAGACCGTCACAACTGAAGCCTGTTAATATTCGAAAGCTCTTGCGCCTAGACATTCACGGCGGACAGGTCCATGCGAGTAGATGCACATATGGGGAGCTCCGGAGCTCACGCAGTGAATATTATTTATAACACGTGCACAAATATGTGTATGTATGTGTGTATGTGTGTAGTATGTATATATATATATATATATATATATATATATATATATATATATATATATATATATGCAAATGTATGTTGTGCAGCCGATACTGTGGAACCGACTGCAGTGCTATTTATGTGGTGTAATCTTTGTGGTGTAATCTGTGTGGAGCTACCTATAGGGCCGCGGTGGGGTGGCGACGGAGGCAACATAGCCGCTAGATCAGACAGGCCCAGACGACGGGCGGCGACGAGGCGGCGACCGGGCGGTGACAGCGGCAACATAGCCGATAGACCGCCAGACAGGCCCAGAATACGGGCGGCGACGAGCCAGCGACGGGGCGGCGATTGCGGCAACATAGCTGTCAGGCCCAGACGACGAGCTTCGACGAGGCGGCGACGGGGCGGCGATGGCGGCAACACAGCCGCCGAACCGCCAGACAGGCCCAGTTCCTTAGAAGAACAGTAAGAACCTCTAAGTGCAAGCGCTGGTTGGGGAGTCTCACTGTAAGCACCGCGGCTGGGCGAGGTGTGACCATGCCGTTTGAAACACAACATGCTACGATACGTTTGCAGTATAATTTGTGCGTTTCAGTAGGCATATTTTCCCATCTGGCACCTGAATCATACACGAGCTACGGCATGGAACATACAAGACTTTGTAACATACAGTTCTACAGTACACAAGCCTCGTCAGAAATTACTATGCAACAGTACTGGAGCCTGAGACTTCAGAGTCGCTGGCATGGCACCGCCTCTGTCGCACCCCCGCCAACTATCCTGTCCCTTCGCTTTTTTCCCATTTTTCTACACCGATCCAAGCCAGGCTGGTCCTGGGTCTGGAATCGCTGCACGTACCTTCTTGGCGAGAACTGGAAAGCATCCTTATACCAACCCAGCTGGGCCCAGGATGGGCCTGGCCAGTATCGGTGGAGGCGTATGGTTGGCGCCCTCCAGCCCCTGTCCCCTTCCCCCCTCTCCCCGCCCCCCCCCTCTGTGGTCCCAAAGTATGAGTGATACGCTGCCGTTGGGAGCCCGTCAGCATGTTACACTTCCGTTTTTGCCGAACGCCTGGTGCCCATTCCACAGGGAGGCGCTGATGGGTTCCCTACGGGGGCATGCCGCTGTTGCTGCTTCTGCCCCGTGGCCGTCGCCCCCGCCGCCGAGGGGGCGGCCGCTCTGGCCTCCGAGTCGGAGCAGCGGAGCCGCCTCGAGGAGGAGCTGGAGGCCCCCCCGCGGCGCAGATCCTCACTTCGTCGCGGGCGGCAGACATGTCCACATCCTTCCTTCCTAGGTCGTCGTTTTCTTACTCCTCGTTTTGCCGATCGGCGCGGGCCCTCGTACCCCCCCCTACCACCCCCTACCCCCTCCCCTGGAGTTGATCTTGGCTGCTCTTGGCGCCTGCTTAAAACAGGGGGGAGTAGGCACGGGGGCCTCCGCCTCCCCACAGGATTCCCCATGGGAGAAGTGTTCCAAACTGTCGCACTAAGCAGAGGTCTGGAGCTAGCTCCCCCCCGCCCCCCCCCTGCCTGCCCAATGTCGAAACGCCGAATACGATACGAAAACGCTCACCAGCGCCACTGAGGAAAGGTCTTGGCACATCGGCCACGATAGCAACGGCGTCCGCTCTGGCCACTACCCCCTCTCTCAAGTTAGGAACGAGGGGGGCGGCCGGGCAGGCCCCTCACGCTCTCCGACCACAGATCACCCGCGTACAGGCGCACAGCGGCCCACAGAGAGTGGGGTGCCCGCGGGCAACCCCAACGACCACCCAGGAGGTCAGGAGGAGGTCCAAGTTGGAGGTAAACGACCCGCAGACCCAGAGTTCGCGCAACCCTCACTACAGCACAACGCGGCCGAATAATCCAGGGGTACAGTCTTGTGCCGAGCTTGCATTGCCCAGCACAGACGGCGGGCCGATGATCCGGGGCCGTGCCGAAGCCTCCCCGAGAGGATCCATGCCAACAGCGCTGAAAGGTGAGCGTGAGTTGCCCGCTCAGATCCAGATTTTGTAGCAATATTAACTTCCCTTTTGCGTGCTTGCGGGGACTGTGGGGGCGAGATCATGGTTACTGGTCAGCAGCCGATCGAGCGGAGTAGGGGTGTTTGTTCAGAAGGAGCAGCGGTAATCCCAACCCCGAATGGGGAAGAAGGGGTGTAAGAGGAGCGGAGTCATTCTGAATCGCCCTCGCCTGTAGCCGCCTCTCGCGAAGCTCCTCACTCCTGCTCCTCCTCCCGCGTTCTCATCTCGTCGTCGTCGTTCTCATCCTTGTCGTCGTCATCCCCCTCCTCATTCCCTCTCCCCTTCCTCCCTCCGCAATCACAGCTGCCTCGTCCTCCACCCCCCTCGTCCCCTCTCGCGCAACTCGAGGACCCACCCCCCACACACAGGGGAGGATCAGGAGCAGACGAGGGGGTTCACGGGAGGCGCAGGAAGGAGAGGGGTGTTTTTTTTTGTGTTGTTTGAGTGTTTCCAAGGTGTGTGTTTGTGTGTGTGGAGGTCCTGGAGCTGTCGGAGATATTTTCTCCCTCCCGCATGGACAGTTTTGTGATGCAGCTGCTTGCGGTAAGTCGCGCCGACGTGCCAGCCCAGCAGTCTGGGTGGAGACTGTTCGAGGGGGTACGGAAGGCCGTCACGTGTGACACTTCGTGTCTCCATGGATGGAAGAGCCCCGATGTTAATGACGATACTGGTGAGGATTATGCTGATGTGATGATGACGATAATGATGGTGATGCCCATGATGCAACTGTTTATGATGATATTGATGATGTTGGTGGTGATTATGCTGATCATGCTGCTGCAAATGATGATGATGATGATAATGATGATGATGATGACGGTGATGGTGATGGTGATGATGATGGTGGTGATGATGATGTTTATGATGATGATGATGATGATGGGGAAATGAAGCTGGTGATGGTGATGCCGATATTGCCATTGATTATGATGAGGATGTTGATGATGATGAATATGCTAATGACGATGATGCTGTGATGGTTATGATGACGATGATGATGATGATGATGATGATGATGATGATGATGATGATGATGATGATGATAATGATGATGATGATGATGATGATGATGATGATGATGATGCTGATGATGATGATGATGATGATGCTGCTTATGATGATGATGATGATGATGATGATGCTGATGATGATGATGATGATGATGATGATGATGATGATGATGATGACGGTGATAGTGATGGTGATGCTGATGGTGATCGTGATGGTGATGGTGATGGTGTTGGTGACCATGACGACGACGCCGCCGACGACCACGATGGCTATGATGATGGTGCTGACGACGTCGATGCTGCTCATGAGCGTCATGCTGAGGATCATGACGCCGACGACGACGATGTCGATGACGAGGGCGTTGCTTATGATGATGATGATGCTGATGATGCTGATGATGATGATGATGATGGTGGTGGTGATGATGATGATGAAGATGATGGTTGTCGTGGTAACGATCATGGTGGTGGTGATGAAGATGATGATGACGGTGGTGATGATGCTTGTGGTGTTGATGATGGTTATGGTGATCGTGCTGGTGGTGTTGATACTGATGTTGGCGATGGCGATGATGCCGATGATGACGATGATGCTGATGATGCTGATGATGCTGGTGATGCTGATGCTATTAATGATACTGATTATGATGATGCCGATGATGGTGATATTGGTGATGACGATGCTGATTCTGATGCTGATTGTGCTGATGATGATGACGCTGCTGGTGATGATGATGCTGCTGCTGATGCTGATGCTGTCGAGTATGATTATGATGCGGGTCGTCATGATGATGATGCTGATGAGGATGACGACGATGCTGAGGATGATACTGATGATGCTGATGATGCTGATGAACATGATGATGATTATGTTGATCATGTTGACTATGATGATGCTGATGATCTGATGATGATGCTGATGACGACAACAACGACGATGATGATGACGATGATGCTGATGCTGATGCCGATGCTGATGCTGATGCTGATGATGATGAGGAGGATGATCATGATTCTGACTATGATGATGATCGATGACATGGTGCATGGCGCGGTGATGGACTGATCGGTGAGGCCGGTGATGCTGATCCTGCTTGTAAACTGATGATGAGGATGCTGCTGATGCTGCTGATGAGATGATCTAGATGCATTGCTGAACCAGCTTGATGAGTGATCGAGAGTATGCTGATGATGCCTTGATGATGATGGTGATGATGATGATGCTTATGATTATTGATGATGATGATGATGATTATGATGATTGATGATGATGATGATGATGATGATGATGATGATGCATCTCGGTTGCTATGCATGTTGCCTCGCTGGGGCTGGCCATTGGTGGTGCTCTCTGTGGGGCACGTGGCGTGAGAGGGTTGTGCCAAAATGGGTGGCTGGGACGCCATGCTGACCTTCACCATGTTTGGGCTGTGCGTGGGCCGTTCTGTGGGGCACGCTCTGGCAGAGGGGCTCGCCGAAACGGGCGGGGGGGGCGCCACGTGGAGCCTCTACCCGTACAGTCGGGGCCCCAGAGAAGGAACCCTTTTCGTTGATGAGGGGCTCGGTACTCCTTGATTGTTTCACAGCTTGCCTTAGGTTCTTCCTTACATTTTCGATATGGAATCGAAGTTTAACTTATGGGGAATAGGGGCCTCGTTCCTTATTTAGGGTTCCTCAGGTCAGCGCCCCGACTGTACCCGGGGCCGTCGATAGGGCTCCACGCGGGGCACAGTCTGTGCGAGGGCCGTGCCGAAGCGGGCAAGGGGGCCGCCACGTGGGCCCTCCTGGGGAACGGCCGCGGGCGGAGCTCCCTGCGGGGCACGATGCGTGTGGCGGGTGTGCCGAAGCGGCGCCTTGCAGGCTCGCTGGGAGGCCCGCCCGAGGGCGCCGGACTAATCAAGTGCATGCAGCCGGGCTGCGAGCCGCGCGCCTGGCCCTCCCCCCCCCCTCCCCTCTCCCTCCCCCCCGCCGCCTCCTGCCTCCCTGCCACTGGGCTCCGCTGGATGGTGAAAACAGTGCCGAAGCGGGCGGGGGGCGGGTCACGTGAACCTGTTTGCCGTGGCCCTAGGTGAATCAGGAGGGAAAGAAACACACTGACACAATGAATCGTCGACTCCCAGGAAAAAATGCGAAACTATGGGAAGTGGGGGGGAAAACAAGGACCCAGGAAATATGGGGAAATATGGGGAGTCATTTAATTTGTGTGTAGTTATTTGTGTGTCCTGGGGCCCCTTCAGCGAAGTTCTTGGGGAAGCCCGATGAGTGTGAGAGGCGTGCCGAGATTGACTGGTGGACCCCATCCGGACCCCTCGCTGGGGGACCGTGGGCGGAGCTCCCCAGAAGGCATCTGTGTACCACCGCCGTGCCTGGCCACGGGCGTCCCTTGACCCAGGAGTGCGCGCAGGCCCAGTTTCGGCCAGGAGGGCGCATGCACCATGCCAGGGCCCAGGAAGCTCCTGAACAGGCACGTTGGCGGTGCACAGGTGAGGGAGGAGGGAGGAGGGAGGAGGGAGGAGGGAGGAGGGAGGAGGGAGGAGGGAGGAGGGAGGAGGGAGGTGGGAGGAGGGAGGAGGTGGGAGGAGGAGGAGGAGGAGAGGAGGAGGAGGAGGAGGGAGGAGGGAGGAGAGAGGAGGGAGGAGGGAGGAGGGGGAGCCTTCTGCGTCTTCCAGAGGACCACACCTACTCAACAGTCTGCAGTCCTGAGCTTTTGCAGACGACAACGGCCAGCGGGCGCGACCGCTCGATTCCGGCGTGGGGTCCGCCCCGCGCGGTTCTGGCAACATTTTTTTTGTGTCGGTGCCTTCGGCTGGCCCAGGGCGCGTGGCATTGCATCTCCCGGACGCGACCTGTTGGCGCGCGTCCTTCCGCTCGGGGCGGAGTTTGCTTGTGCGCATTAGGTGACGTGATTTGTGTGGTGGGTGAGGCTGGGGGGGTTGCGACTGGGGCCCGAGCCTTTTGTCTTTCCGGGGGTACCCAGAGGGTTCGTCCCCAAGGACGGCCTGTTTGTTTTCTGGGCGCTTTGGCACAGTTAGCCTTCGCTGGTTTGGGGCGGCGCTTTTAGGGCCGGTGCGAGCGCGGGACCCGAGGTGTCCTCGTCGCGAATGGTCCGCCCCTTGTCCTTTCAAAGCGACCTTACGGCCACCTTTCAATCTTCGTTGGTTCACCACTCTTGTGATTGATACCGTTGCGGCGCACCGTATCCAGCCGTCGGCGTCCTCGTCGACCTGCTGGCTGGTGCTTACACTCTAAAATGACTGGCCTGGGCTTGCATCGACGTGGGTTAGCGAAAGCCCGAAGGTGGGGGCGTGGAGGGGGTCGGGGGCTTTGTGGGCCCTGGAAACGGCAGGGCCGTTTTTTACCGTTCTAAAAAAATTGTCCCCTTTTTTTTGTTTTGTTTTTTTTTTTTTTGTGTCTCTTTTGATTTTTTTTTCTTTTTTTTTTTTTTTGGAATTTTTTTATCATTTTTTTTTTTTTGAAAATGGAAACGGCAAGAAACGGCTCCAGGATTGGAGCTGGAGCCAGAACCGGTAAAAAGACGGCGACGGAAACCCGGTGAAAAAACGCGACACGGAACCGGCAACAAAACGGGCAAAACGGAGCCGATAACAAAAACGGCAAAAAAACGGCCCTCTGTCGTTTCCAGGGCTCTGTCGTTTCCAGGCCCCTCTAAGGCGGGGGCCGGGGCCGGTCACGGGCGTCATTGCGATCCACGAGAAGCCGGCTCCGTTCCTCTCCGCCTCCCTCCCAGGCGCGGGAGCACGCCGAGGCGCTGCGGGAGCAGCAGCGGGCGGTGGAGGCGTCGCGGACGTTCATTCGCAACGACCTGCAGGTGCCCCCTCGGGTCCCCTGCCTCCGACGCAGTCAGGGGGGGGGGTCGCTTGGGGATCGCTCCTCCTCCTCTCCTCCTCTCCTATCCTCCTCTCCTCCTCTGTCCCTGCCTCCTCATCCCGTTCCCCTCCTTCCTCCCGTTCCCCTCCTTCTTCGTTCGTTCTCCTCATCCATCTCACCTCCCACCCCATCCACTCCTCCTCCTCATACTCCTCCCTCCTACCTGCTAACTCCCCCTCCTCCTTCCTCTTCTCCTCCTCATCATCCTTCCTCGTCCTCCTCTCTCCTCTTCTCGTCTTTTTCTCCCCCCTCCTCTCCTCCTCTTCTCCTCTTCTCCTTCTTCTCCTTCCCTTCTCCCCGCCTCCTCTTCTCCTCTTCTCCTCCTCCCTCCTCTTCTCCTCCTCCTTCTCCTTATCCTCTTCTCCTCCTCCTCTCCTCCCTCCTCCTCCTCCCCTGCCTCCCTGCCTACTTGCCTCCTCCGCCTCCTCCTCCTCCTCCTCCTCATTATCCTCTTCTCCTCCTCCTGCTACTCTGCATCCTCCTCTGCCTCCTCCTCCTCCTCCTCTCCTCCTCCTCCTGGGGTTCAGGAGGCCGCCCCGCCTGCATGGGCATGCCGCGTCGGGTTGGGCGGGGCCGCGGCGCCGCGGGGCCTGCGGCGGTCCTGCCGCGCGGCTCCCTGCGCCGGCGCGCAGCGGCCCTGCGGCGGGGGCGGGGGCCTGCGGGGGTGGGCCGGGATCTCAGGAGAGGAACAAACACACAGACACAATTCACCCTCGATTCCCCAGAAGATATGGGAAAAAATATGGGAAGGGAGGGGAAAGACAGAGACCCAGAAAATATGGGAGCATATGGAGGATATTTCTATTTGTGTGTGTCTTTGTTTGTGTGTCCTGGGGCCCCTTCAGGATCGAGGGCACAGCTGATTCGGTGGCAAGTCATGGTAGCCTTGTCGGAAACTGGGACACATGCATCACCAGTGGCGGGCTGCTTCTCCATCTAAGGACGTTTCGAGGGTCGGGGACGACGTCGGGATGGTGTGGTGTATACTTGTCGATTCCGTTTGCCGAGGAAGCAACGAAACATGTGTACACCAGGATACCGTATACACCAGGATCCGATGTCGTGTGCAAACTTCAGTGCAGGGCCAGAAAAGCGTCGGTGTATATAGAGTTCGGTTCCTTACCTTGTGTGCCCTCGCAATGCTGTCTGTAGTGGACTAGCGTCGGTTGGCCTCGGGGAGTCGATGAGGCAGCGCCGATTTAGCGTCGGCCAGCGTCGATGAGCGTGGATGTAGAGCCGATGTAGCGTCGATTTGGCGTCGACGAACCTCGATTTGCAGTAGCCGACAAGACGGCATGGGAGGCTCCCACGAGTTGCGCAGAGGGGGTGGACCAGAATCGAGGGCACAGCTGGGCATTGGGGCCAGCGCGGACGGGTGCCAGCGCTGACTCCTCCTCCTCCGCCTCCTCCTCTGACTCCTCCTCTTTCTCCTCCTCGTCCGCCTCCTCCTCCTCCTTCTCCTCCTCCTCCTCCTCCTCCTCCTCCTCCTCTCTCCTCCTGGCCGACCCAGGCTTGCCAACCACGCGGGGCCGACTGGCCCAGGTGGGGGAGGCCGCTCCGCGGCCGGCCCAGTTTCGCGGCAGGCCCCCTTGCCGACAGGGTCTGTGTGTGCGGACCAGGGGCAGCGCGTCCCCGAGGGTAGGCAGGAGGAGGATGAGGAGGAGGAGGAGGCGGAAGGAGGAGGAGGAGGAGGAGGCGGAGGAGGAGGAGGAGGAGGAGGAGGAGGAGGAGGAGCTCCTCCTCCTCCTCCTCCTCCTCCTATGCAGATGAAACATATGATGAATGATTATGCTGATGCTATGATGATGATGATGATGATGATGATGATGATGATGATGATGATGATGATGATGATGATGATGATGATGATGATGATGATGATGATGATGATGATGTTGTTGTTGATGATGATGATGATGATGATGATGATGATGATGATGATGATGATGATGATGATGATGATGATGATGATGATGATGATGATGATGATGATGATGATGATGATGATGATGATGATGATGATGATGATGATGATGATGATGATGATGATGATGATGATGATGATGATGATGATGATGATGATGATCGGGACCGAGCTCGGATCGAGCGCCGCGCGCGTCGAACGAGCAGAACGAGCGAAGAGGCGGCCCAACGACCCAGACGAGCATCGCGGTCAGTGGAGGCGACAGCACACATGACAGTCGAACGCGAACGGATCACGCGAGCAATAGCCATGCCAGAGCCTCATCTCCAACGACGAGGGCACGATGGACAGGAATCCTGACATTAGAGCCGTCGGGGCGAAACCTCGCAAAAACCAATTCAAACGATCACGCTTGTTCGGCTCTCGCAGGAGTTGGGTTGGATCGCAAGGCAGCAGCAGGCCTCCACGAGCCGCGCCTCGCGAATAGGATCCGCACGCCGTGCACGCCACGAACTCGCCTGCGACCCTGAGTCTGTGCCCCCTGCATGCCTCAGGCGGCACGGGGCCAGACTCGGGGAGAGGCGCAGCAGGTGGGGTTGCCGAATTCGCCCCAGGCTGCCCCCCCCGAGACCGCGAGAGCTCCAGGGAAACCGCCATCCGCAGGCGGTGGGGATCCAGCCGAACCCCCCACAGGGGCCTCCAGCGCCAGAGCTCCAGGGTGCGATCCAGCCGATCCCGAAGACGCAGAAGTCCGAGGCCGCACGACACGGGCAGAGGGAGCAGAGGCAGGGCGCCTCTGACCGCGTGACGGCGCGGGAGCTCCAGGGAAATCCGCGCCGGCCCCACACGAGTCAGGATCCGTCGTCAGAGCTCCAGAAGCGGATCCAGCCGACGGCTCGGAGGACGAGGAAGGCACAAAAGCCGTCAGCGCAGCTCCAGTCATGAGCGCTGCGGCCGCCACCATCGCCTGGGGGGCGGTGGACGTGGCCGGACTGCATTCCGCCGGCTCGACGTCCTCGGCGAAACGCATTCGCTTGCGGGGAGGTTCATGGGCAGCCTGGGGCGGAGAAAGACCGATTGGGGCACCCTCCCCCCCGCCTGGGGCCGCCGAGCTCTGGCTCGACATGCCGGCATCCTGATTTAGGGCCGCGCCGAGGGCTGCGGGGGCGGCCGCGGGGCGCGGAGGAGGAGGAGGAGGAAGCTCAGAGGCCCGCTCGACCACATCCCTCCGAGCCGCCTGGGCCCGCGCCTTGAGCTCCCTCCCCCTGCACGTCTGGCGGAGCACACGCGCGCGACCAGCCAACGTGCGAGCTTCACTAGCGCACCAGGCGCATCGCCACCACGAGGCAGCGAAAAACGGAGCATGAGCATAGGCAGGCGTCACGCATGGCTCACCACGGCGTCGCCGCGGCTGGCGCATCCGCCGCCCTCGTGCTCGCGGCGGCCGTGGGTCGCGATCCGGCGCCAAGGCCCCAGACATCAGGCCGTCGTGCACCGCTGCCACCCAGCAGGCCGTCTGACGAAGGTGTCGAAGGAGGACCTTGGACTCCGCCTTCTGCTGGTCCGTGAAGCAGTGGAGCCCCGATCCCAAGCGAGCGAGCGCGTCCGCCCAGTCGTTGCCATGCCGATGCTGGTCGTTGCCGCTCTGGTGCCCACGGACGAGAACGATGCGCACGTCCGAGGAGAGGCCGCCGTGGTCATCCAACTTGGCCCACAGCTGCACCCACAGATCGCGATTCCAGCGCCTGGGACAATGTGCCCACGCGCGCCCGCGCGCCAGGCCGAGGATAACCTCCAGGTGGTCCGTGTGGATGCAGAAGGGCGGAACGGCCACTAGCAGGACCTGAATGACCGCCCAGAGTTCGGCCCTGGGCGAAGATTGGACTGGTCCAGGCACCGCGTCGTAGTAGCCGCCGACGGCCCGGAAGTTCTCGAGGATAACGAAACCCCAGCCCGCTCTCGCGGCCTGCGGGCGGCCCCAATGCTTCAGGCAGGAACCGTCGGCGTAGATGAGGCCGGTGACCATGAAGCCCGGGGCTGCCAGCAGCGCGTGCCAGCGGCCGCTGTCGTCACGGGGAGGAGGAACAGGTAGCGAGGACAGCGGAACCAGCAGGCGCGCCCAGCGCGGATCGTTCTGCATGATGTGTGGCAGCCCGTCGATCAAGGCCTCATCCAAGGCCAGCTCCCGCTCGGGCTGGCACAGCTCGCGCTGCCAGTAACGGTGAACTGATGTGCCAGGCGCGGCCCAGCATCGTCGACATAGCCCGTCGGCCGCGTAGCCGTACCTGTGCAGTCGAGCCTGGGACCAGGTGGCACCCGCGACGAGAGACCGGACGGCGCCGGCGCCAGAGTCTGTGAGCCTCCAGCGGGTAGTGGGCCTGTGCAGCAGCGCCGCCAGCGGCTCCAGCCATGATGATGATGATGATGATGATGATGATGATGATGATGATGATGATGATGATGATGATGATGATGATGATGATGATGATGATGATGATGATGATTATTATTATGATGTGATGATGATGATGTTGATGATGAGGATGAGGATAGGATGATGATGTGATGATGATGATGAAGGGATGATGATATGATGATGTGATGATGATGTGTATGATATGATGGATGCTGAATGATGATGATGATGATGATGAGGAGGAGGCGGAAGGAGGATTAGGAGGAGGCGGGAGGAGGAGGAGCAGGAGGAGGATGAGTTTTTCTTCCTCCTCCTCCTATGCAAGTGGAAATATGATGATGGTGATGATGATGCTGGTGATGATGATGATGATGATGATGATGATGATGATGATGATGATGATTATGATTATGATGATGATTATGATGATTATGATGATTGTGACGATGACGATAATGATGATGATGATGATGATGATGATGATGATGATGATGATGATGATGATGATGATGATGATGATGATGATGATGATGATGATGAATGATGATGATGATGATGATGATGATGATGATGATGATGATGATGATGATGATGATGATGATGATGATGATGATGATGATGATGATGATGCTGCGATGATGATGATGATGATGATGATGATCTTGATGATTTATGATGATTACGATATGATGATGTTGATGATGATGATGATGTGATGATGATGATGCTGATGCTGATGATGATGATGATGATGTGATGATGACTGATGCTGATGCTGATGCTGATGCTGATGCGATGCTGATGCTGATGCTGATGCTGATGATGCTGATGATGATGATGATGATGTTGATGATGATTATGATGATGATGATGATGATGATGATGTTGATGCTGATGATTATGAATGAGATGTGAGGAGGAGGATGGCTGGAGGAGGATGATGTGATGAGGAGGAGGAGGAGGAGGAGGAGGAGGAGGAGGAAGACGAGGAGGAGGAGGAGGAGGAGGCGGAAGGAGGAGGAGGAGGAGGAGGCTGGAAGAGGAGGAGGAGGGAGGAGGAGGACCAGTGCAAACAGAAGGCTGATCAATCATTCTGTAATGAACCCTCCCTCCAAGTTCCCCTCTCAGAATCGGCCCCTGCACGGATCCATTTTCACCGAGGGACGCGCCCCGTTGGAAGACAACCGTTGAAACATCCGGCCAGGATGCCATTCCTGGGACTTTAACCCCGCGGATCATCATTATTATTATGATTGCGTCTCACCGATCCTGAATCGTGCCAGGGCACCATTCCTGGGATTTCAAGGCCGCGAATCAATGTAAATTGCGCCCTGACATCCCGACATCGTGCCAAATCACAATTTCTGGGACGTTGACCATCGGAACCCTTGAAAATGCTGCGAACTCTTAAGACGAGTGTGTGCGGCGCCAAGGTGAGAGCCATATCTTGAAAACGACCCGCCTTCCATCCATGAAACATTTGCGCACTTTTGAAGCGGATATGCGCTGCGCTAACGCGAGAACCACGCTTTGGGAACGACCCGCCCTCCATCCGTGAAGCTCTTAGCGAACTTTTTGGATGAACGTGCGCAGCGCTATGGCGACAGCCACATTTTGAAAGCGACGCACCCTCCATCGTTGAAACTGTTGCAAGCTTCAAGCTTCAGGATATTCAGTTGAGAGGAGATCTCAGGCGAAACGCCCAGCCCGCCCTTTCGACCGGACTCGGGGTGCGACAGGGATGAGTGATCTAGAAGGGCGAGGGAGGAGGCGGCAGGAGGGAGAAAGGAGGAGGAGGGGGGGCCCCCAGGGGGGCGCCGAAGTTTCGAGAAGCAAGCGGCATGGCAGGGGGGGTGCCCCAGGGGTGGGGGGGGGGCGACGGGCGCTGGAGCCTAAGACGAGAAAGGCACAGTCGGACGGTTCTTCGGAGACCTGCGCGGGCCTGTGGGGTCGGCGCCAGGACCTCCCGGCGCGGCCCTTGGTGCCGCCCCTGGTGTTAGGTCGGGCATGTCCCTGGAATTACAGGAGGCATATTTACAGATAGTGGAAAAAATAGTCGGGGGACGATTTTTCGGCATTCTGTGTTTTTTGGATACTTTTGACCATTTCATGTTTCCTTCCAAAATCCGACTGTAGGAGGACATGCCAGACCTGACCCTGGTGCCCCTGGCCCCCTGGAGACATCGGCGGGTACCCGGGGGGCCCCGTAGGTCCCCGGAGGCCTCCCAAAGACGTTTGCACGTTGAGACATGGCGCGATTGCCAACTCTTCAGGGGACCTCCAGCCGCCTCGTCCGCCTGCTCCTCGCTGTTCATCCTCCCCGTCTTCCTCCTGCTTCTGCCCTCCCTTCGTGATCCCTGTCGTTCTCGATGCTGCGCCTCCGTCTCCGCTCTTGCCTCTTGTGCTGCACCGAGCATGCCTCTTTCATGCTGCGGCCGAGTCATGTCGTTACGCACGTTTACGAAGCAGCGTGGTCAATTGAAGTCCGAGGTCAAGTGTTTGTGTGTGCCATTCGTTTGAATCGTACTCACATGTTCGCCCGTCAGAGGCATTCAGAATGCGTGCACCGATAGTTTCCCTGCAGGACTTCCTCCAGAGGAACCCTGATGGCACCTTCACGGCCTGGATTGCCTCGCTGCACCCTGAGGTCAGCGGGTTCCCACTTCTTTTCTTGGCTCGTCTAGCACTCTAGGTTTGTAGTAATCGTTTCTCAGCATTCATTTTGCGCATCCCAGGTTCCCAGGTTCCCCGTTATCCCTCCCTCGTCGTCCTCGTCCCCTTTTTCATATCCCCCTGCCCATGCACCCCCCCTCCTCATCCCCGTCCACGCTATGCGCCTCAGCTTCCTCTCCTCTCCCTCTTACCTCCCCGCCCCTCTTCCTCGTCCCCATCGCCCCTCCGCCCTCTCTTCTCCCTCCTGCTTCCTCCTTCGGCTGGTCTTCATTCCCTACCTAGACTCTGCCTAGAAGGGTTCTTACTTTATTAGCTTAAAGGGGCCGGGCAGTGGGGCTCGCCCCGGGCGGTTCCCCCGGCATCCGCCCCGCGGTTCCCCCAGGATCCCCCCGCGCCCCCTGGGTGAACTTAGCTTAGCTTAGCTTCGCTCAGCTAAGCTAAGCTTAACTGGCTTAGCTTAGCTTAGCTAGCTTAGCTTAGCTTAGCTTTGCTTATCTCATCTTAGCTTAGCTGAGCTGAGCTTAGCTTAACTTAGCCTAGCCTAGCCTAGCTTAGCTTAGCTTAGCTTAACTTATACCATCTTAGCTTAATTTAGCTTTCCTTGGCTTAGCTTAGCTGAATTTAGCCAAGCTTAGCTTATATCATCTCATCTTTGCTTAGCTTAGCGTAGTCTAGCCTAGCTTAGCTTAGCTTAACTTAGTTTAAGCTTAGCTTAGCCTAGCTTAGCTTACCTCATCTAAACTTAGCTTAGCTTAGCATAGCTTCGCTATCTTTGCTTAGCTTAGCTTAGCTTAGCGTAGCTTATGCTGCTTTCCTAGGGGCTCCAACTCCTAGGTAGGGTCGCATTGGGATAAGTTCTTTTCTTTCGCTCTCTCTCTCTCTCTCTGTCTCGCGTCATCCTCTTCCTCACCTCCCGATCCTCCTCACCCGTTCATGCGATGAATCCAGTGCCTGTGAATCCAGTGCCTTGCAATCCATGTGGGGCACTATGCGTGGTGGAACTTATGTTGTGCTGTATGGTGTGTGTGTGTGTGTGCAGTCCATGCTGCGTCATCCATGTTGTGCCACCCGTTATGTGCAATCTGTGTTGTGCAAACTTTTTTTGTGCAGTCTTTGGTATGCATTCCATGTGGTGCAATCTATGTGCTACAACCTGCGTAGTGCAATGTATGTGAAGCAATATGGATGACGCTACCAGTATGGTGCAATCTATGTGGTGCAACATGTGTTTTGCAAACTAGGTGGTGCAATCTAAGTAGCGCAAACTATGTGGTGCAATCTATGCGGTGCAATGTATGGTGTACAACGTGTGTTGCGCAATCAAGGTGGTGCAATAAGGTGGCGAAATCGTTGTGATCGAGTATAGGTTGTGCAATAGTTGTGGTGCAATCTGTGTTGTAGGGGCTAGGGTATTCATCTACATTGTTTGAGCGATGTGTGTGGTGTAACCTCTGAGGTGCACTCGATTGCAGCCAACTGAATGGCAATCGATTGGATTGCTATCGATTGGATTGCAACCGATTGGACTGCAGACGTGTAAGCTGTGTGGTGCAATCTATGTGGCGGCATGTATGGTCCAGGGTCTGGCCCCCCCCCCCCCCCCTGATGCTGATGCCATCGGGCCCCCCCCCCGCGCGCGACCCGCGGGCTCGGCCCGAGAGGCTCCCGCGGGCCACGCCCGTGCCGCAGACCGCGCGGCCCCCGTCCTCGACGCGCTCGCTCCGAAAGGGGCCGCGTCCAGCCTCACGCAGGAGGGCGGCCTCGATCCACTGCGAGGTGGTTCACCGGGCGCGTTCCACTGCTCGCAAAGTGCCTTCTCGCAATCGTTCGAATATCAACAAATGTTTTTTTGACGAACTTCATCGTAGATTCCCCGCGGCGTATCCAGGCCATTTGCGAGTAGTTCCTTTGCGAGTAGTGGAACGCGCTCGTCTAACTGTGAGGTGGTGAAGGGGGCGGAGGAGCCTCGATCGAAGAGAAAAAAGCGCTGGGGACCCCTGGCGGTGCCTCCGGCGCCGCCCCTGGCGCGCTCCGCGCGGCGGGGAAGGGGGGCCAGCGCGGATTTCAGGAATCCACGCAGAGAGCCTGAAGGTTTTGTTGATACAGCTTTTTCTTATTCTTCTTCCACTTGAGGGGGGAGGCTAAGAAGAATGCCATGCATCGAGGATCGCCCCGACACGTACTCCGGAGCGGGGATGAGGATGGGAGAAGGGGAGGGCAAGGTGGAGGCGGAATTTGGCGATGATAACGAGGGGAGGATGATAGGGAGAAGCAGGAGAAGGACCAGGGTCAATCAGGAGGATGAGGAGCAGCAGGTGGAAGAGGAGAAGAAGGGAGGATGATGAGGAGGCATAGTTCGGCGGGGCATCGCCAACGCTGAGGATCAGGTCACGCTATATCATTTCGTCCTGCCTGGAATTATTTGTTTTGCTTTCTGTGTTGCGCCTTTCATCCCGCTGCGCTCGAGAACGTCACGCTCGACCCGCGCCTCCTGAACGACAACAATCCCTGGCAAGCCGTGTGGGATGAGGCAATCGCTGCATTGGGCGCATTGCGACAGTTGGGCATTGTATTATGGGATGTGCGGTTGCAGCAGGGAGTTGGTGGTATCATCGTGGGGTCAGCGCCCCCTTTTTCGACTCTCCTTGCTTGCACTCTCCCTCCGCGCTTGGCAGCGCAGCGCTAGGCCAACGCCTGGCGTCATGTGAAGTCGTGAGCGCATTGCGTTAAGATTGATTGTTGAGTTGGGTTCGGCCCTAGACGGGAACTCAGAATGGAGCGTCGGTGTATACTTTAAAGTCGGACTTGGGGGGTGGAGGTGCCGGGAGGATGGGAAGTTGGAATGATGAGGATTCGGCGGACGAGGAGGTGGACCCCGCCCCGAGTAAGATGCGCCCTTGATGATGAGGATGCTGAGTATGATTACGTATGAGGGGAACGCGGATGATGAGGAGGAGCATGATGATGATGCTGATGTTGATGTTGATGTTGATGTTGTTGATGATGATGATGATGATGATGATGATGATGATGCTGATGCTGATGCTGATGCTGATGCTGATGCTGATGATGTTGTTGATGTTGATGCCGATAATGCTGATGCTGATGCTGATGCTGATGCTGGTTATGAGGATGCGTATGATGATGATGCTGATGCAGATGCTGAGAACGAGGGGATGATGTTGATGATGATGATGATGATGATGAGGATGAGAACGAGGATGATGATGCTGATACCGATGATGCTGCTGCTGCTAATGATGATGCTGCTGCTGATGATGATGCCGATGATGATGGTGATGATGATGACGACGATGATTATGATGCTTATGATGATAATGTTGATGTTGTTGATGATGGCGATTGTGAGGATGCTGATAATGTCGATGCTGACGCTGGTGATGACGAATATGCTGCTGATGAGGATGCTGCTGATGGTGCTATGCCGATGCTGGGGGAATATTCTGCCTATGATGATGACTACTGTTATGTTACTCACGCGGGTGGTCGTGGTGGCGGTGGGGATGGTGTGATGGTGGTGATGTTCATAGTGCCCATGGCTATGCGTGAAACTGACGACGGCGATGATGGCGACAATGACTGGCGATTAGGATGGCGATGGTAATAACGATCGTGATCATGGTGACGGTGATCGCATTGATGCTGTTTTTGATGTTGAAGATGCTGATTATGATGATGATGCGGCTGCTGTGTTTGGTGATGATGCTTGTGATGATGATGATGCTGATGCTGACGACGATACTGGCTGATGATGCTGATGCTTATGATTATGGTGATGCTGATGCGGATTATGCTGATGATGTAGAATGTCAGGAACGACAGCGGCAATGATGCTGATAATGAGGATGCCGACTCAGACGAGGATGAGGATGAGGATGAGCATGGTGATGAAGTTGTTGTTGATGATGATGAGGATGACGATGATGATGGTGATATTCCTGCTGCTGACGAGGCTGATAAGGCTGATGATGCTTATGAGGACGCTGATGGTGGGGATGTTCTCAATCAGTGCGATGATCATGATCATGATCTTGTTCGTCAACCTCACGAACAGGGGGAGGCGGTGGCCGCGCTGTTAGTGGAGGCGCAGGAGGCGGAATCGTAGTCTCAGGGCGTTTGCGTTTAGCCAGACGTGTGTCGACGGTGCTACGTTCGCTCAGGCTGATTGGCATCGGCCGTTTGTGTCGTGCCGCCCTCATTCTACCCCCTTGCCCCCATCTGCGACCGCCCGCGAACCAACGGCCCAAGCTGGATACGAGCAGCCCAGTAAGACATGAGGCGCTCGGGCACGACTTTACCGACGTCAGGCTGGCAATCACAGTGGTGCTGCACCTCGACCAGTGGTTCCTCCTGGTCCACCGCGCCTCTCGAGCCGCAGCGTAGCTCGCTCCTGCGTGCTCTTGTGCGGCATGTAGGCCGTTGCTTTTTAGGCGCGTCTCTTGACGGCGCCTGGCATCCCTGCGCGCGGTCGCGAACAACAAGTCTCCCCACGAGCTTTTCCGCCCGTAGCCCAGGTCGTCCCTTGACGCCGCCTGCGCTATCGCTTGCGGCCGCGACCAAAAAGTATCCCTACCAGCCCATCCTGCACCGATGCTCAGGCGATATGCATGGGTTAAGGGTGGGAGGCATCCGTCAAACCGAGATCGGGGCCAGCCTGAGCAAGCTGAGGAATCAACTATACATACCTTCGCAGGGCTGGCGGTATGGGATCCTCTTGGCAGCTTTCTTGGGTTATTTCGGATACGTTTGGGACCCCCTTGGTGCCCTCTTGAGGCTCTTCAGAGGCTCTCTTGGGGGCCTTCGGGACCGACATCGATCAAAAAAGGGGATAAAAAAGGCACCCCCCGCTGGGGCCCCTAGAATCGCCTCTTGGTGCCTTCGTGGCGCCCTCTCGGGGCGCTCTTGGATGCTTCTAGGGCCATTTTGGAGCACTCGTCGGGCCATCTTGAAGCCATCTTGAGGCTTCGAAAGCCCATCGGACGCGAACAGGCTAGATTGCAACACGCATGGATGTCCGTAGGTTTTTGGAGGGTTTTGGCCTCTAGGAGGCGTCCTGAGAAGGCTTCAGGGCCACTTTGACCAGTCGTAGGGCGGTCTTGGAGACTCTTGGAACACGTTGGGAAGCCATCTTACGCCATCTTGATGTATCTGGAGCCATGTTAAGCTAATCTGGACGATCTAAACCCTCGCGACCTCCCCTGTCCAGACCCAGGCGGGCTGGTAAACGCTTGTCCGGATGGGAAGAAAAAGGGTTGGAAGAGGAAACGTCCTAAACCACCTCCACCCTGGAGGACCTTGGAGGACCTGGTTGACTCACGACAAGGCCGGGTATGTCCAGCATGCTTTCTCTTCTGAGCACGACCCCGCGAAATTTGGAGACCTGGAGGCCAAGGCCTCGCCCTCCTTGCCTAGCAAGTGGGCCAAGATGTTTATTTTGAGTTGTGATCGCCTTCGGGTTCTTCTCCTCCCCGTTCACCCTCCACCTCCCTTTCCGAGGAACGGACACAACGATACCATCACCGTCAGAAGGCCAACACCCTGCGAGGAGGTACGCGATGCCCCCCACGAGTTGCAGACCGGGTACGCTACGAACAAAAACGCAGAAAAAATAGCGTTCGGCACCGCCGCGATAACCCTGTTGACGTCGGTGGTGGCGGTATCGCTTCTCTTTCGTCTCATCCCGCCTTCGCCTCCTGCTCTGGAAGTCAAGGGGGTTCGGTCGCAAATCATGGGGGCCTGGTATACCACCTCAATGTATTGTCTAGCGTCTGTTAGCGTCGAGTAGCGTCCGGGGGGTCGATCAGATAGCACCGATTTAGCGTCGGTTAGCGTCGATTCTGCTCGCTCAGCAACGATGTGGCGTCGATTGGCGTCGGTTCGCAAGAGCCGACAAGCTGGCATGGGGGGCTCCCGTGTACAGTGCCATTTTTAATGCATGCCTTGCGTGCGGATCATGTATAAAACATGCAGGGATTGAGTATCAAAAACAAAGATGAGCTCATGCATACATTTATTCATACATTAATCATGTCTTAACAAATCCGATATTCTAAAAAATCCAATGTCTTGAAAAACTACCCTGTAGCTCCCGCCGTCACAGGGGACGTCCGCGCGGGGCTCTCGGGACGGCGCCGGAGCCCCTCCCCCCGCACGCCCGGCGGCGGCGCGTCCAGCGCCGCCGCCGGCACGCTGCGCGCGCCGGGCAAGGGGGCGCGGGGAGGAGAGGTCCACTTGGGCTCGCCGCGGGGGTTGCCAAGAGGATAGGGGGATGCAAGTGGCTGCTAAGGTGGTTTGACCCAGCCTAGCCTATCTTAGCAGTGGTTTCTGCGTGCCCTGAGTGGCTTGACGGCGCACGCATCTGGGTTGAGTTGGCGGAGCCTTTTAGGGGAGTCACCTCATCAGTCTAAGCCACACAGGGCACTTGAATCCCACTGATAGGGTGAGTTAGGCCAGATCAAACCTACTTTAGCATCCACCTCGAACCCCCCCGTCCCCTTAGCAACCACCGCGGCGATCCAAACAGCGCCGAGCCAAGCGTCAGGAGGGGAAAAACGCACACAGACACAGAGAATCGCCGATTCCCAGGACAAAATCCGGGAAACCATGGGAAAAGTGGGGGGGGAGACGCACACATTGAGAAAAGACGAGAACACGTGGGGCATCCTGGGATTGGTGTGTATGCAGTTGTGCATCCCTGGGCCCCTTCAAATCCGCGCGGGCCTCATCGTCCACGTTGTTGTTGGCGTCGCCTGATGATCAGGCCGCCGGCGGCGGCCGGCTGCGCCGCCTCCGCTGCTGCTGGAGACGGGGCGGCAGGGAGGCGCTGCTGGCGGACAGGCCGCCCCCGCGGAGCTGCAAGGGGGAAGAGCAGGAGGGATCAAGCAGTGGCGAGGCGTCTTGGCTTGCCTGTAGGCCCACCAAGGAATGTACTCACAACCTCCTGTGGTTTGCACAGAATGTTCCTAGAACGCTCGTGGCTGAGACTGTCCTGTTTCAGTGCGTCGGGCTTACGTTCTACGAGCATGTCGTGGTGGGCCTATGGGAGTGGCGGGACGTTCGGTCCCTGCTCAAAGGGAGGGATTCAGTATCGTTTAACCAACCCCAATCTTCATCCCCATCCCCATCCAGACCCCCACCATCTCAGCACCCCAGTTGGGGATTGACCCCTCGAAACCCGAAGAAAGCAGCCTGAATCACCATCAGGGGGCAGATCGGCCAGTGGGGCCCAGGCCACGCCCATGGGGATAGGGGTCGGTTGGACGATGCTCATAGGCTGGAGCTGCACGGGCCACGAGGGAGTAACCGCGCAGCGGGGTCGAGGGACGGCAGCGACAGGAGAATCGTATCGCCGCCCCACCATGGGGCCACAATCGAGCTGCCTGCGGGGCCGCCTGCACAGCGTCCGCTGGGCGCACCGTTTTGGGGCTGCACTTCGGGAGCCAGGGGGGACGGGGGGCAGGGGAAGAAGGGAGGTGAGGACGGGAGAGTGGGGCCCTCTGCTTGGACGGAGAGTTGCGGGAGCGATGGAGGAGGAAGCATGACATGAGGAGAGAAGGAATGAAGGAACGAAGTAGTTCAGCTCGCGGCGGGGCGCTCGCGGCAGCCACCTGCCTTCGCAGGGGCGCCAGGGCCCGTGCGCGATCGCCTCGCGCCGCTTGCATCAGCCTCCGTTGCTGCGGCCTTCGACCTTTCCGCGCTGGCGGATGAGATCGGCGATGCCGCGAAGAAGCTCGGTGTCGATTCGCACGCCTTCGCCAAGGAGGTTGACTGGAACAGCGGAATCTACGTGCAGGCTCCTGGGAAGTTCCAGCCTCTGTAGTCCCTGAAGGCCATCGATAATTTGGTCTTGATGCTCGTGCGCAGGCCTCCTTGACGGCTGCTCGCGGAAGGTGTCAGGAGGTATCAGGTGTTTAAGAAGGCTTGAAGTCTCGAGCGGTCTCGGTCGCACCTGGGACAACGTTCTCTTATTCAGGAGCACTCGACCCCGTCCTTGCCCAGGCGGGGAACGAAGGGCTAAGTTTGGCGACGGTGACAGGGGGCCACTGGCCGAGGCTGGTCGGTAGCCCTCGCGCTAACCTGCGTGATCGGCTAGCCCGTCGTTTCCGCCACTCCGGTGTTGGGTCCCTGCTTCTCGGTGTCTGTGGCGTGTGTGGTCAGGGAGGGGAGGTGGGGCGAGGGGACGCGGCTCACCGATACCCAGAATGGTTTCTGGAAGCGACAGGGCACTTTTTGACCCGGTCTGTCTTGCTGTTTTTGTTGTTGGTTTTCGCGCCGTCGTTTTCCCGTTCCGTCGCTTTTTTGTGTGTCGTTTTTGGTTGTTGTTTTCTGCGGTTTTCTTCAGCAGGTTTTTCATCGGAGGCGGTTTCGAAGGCGGCCTGGCCGCTTCTGGGGCCACTAAGCCAGTGCCCCCTGTGAGGGCGCCCTCTCCGTTCGGGCCATTGGTGGACGACGGTTGGGCCGAGGTATGAGATCGAAGTCGGTTCGGTGGGGGGGGGCCCTACTGTCCTCGCATTCGTGGGGTGTGCTTGTGCATCCTGGGGGGAGGTACCCTCGAGTGGTCTTACGCTCTGGGGTGTTTTGGCCTGCGGAGGGCCTCTTGTTTTCAAAGAGCGTTCTCTGTTGTCTTCCGGTCCGACCGTATGCTTGCGGTCGTCTGGCGCTGGGCCCTCGCTTCCGCGGCGGCGGCGGACCCCTGTCCGGTGGCCTCTCTTGTCCGGTCGAGGGCGGGAGTGTACGCCTCTGGCCGTCCAACATCCGCGCGGGGGCGGCCGGGTCGTCGGCCATGCCGTCAGACGGGGCGAGCCGTCGGCGAGCGAGGGGGGGGAGTGAAGAAGAAGGGACCCTCGCAGAAAGCGGCAGGACTTCTCAAGAACCCTCGCGCCCTCTGAGATGTTCCTCGTGTCTTCGGGGAAGGCTTAGAGCACTTCTCAGAAGGCCGGGGGTGATCCGAACCTTCCGATAAGGCCCCCTTCTTCTTTGTTAACCCGCGGGTTCGTTGTCGGGAAATTGTGCCCATACCGCTACCCTTCGCTCGTCTTCCTCTCTTCAGGCCTTCTGGGAGGCCCTCGTCGCCACCGCTGGATTGGCTTCGGAATCCTAATCGGAGCGCGTCCGGGGAGAGGTCCGGGGAGTAGCGGTATTGGTAGCTTTGAGTTTCCCCATTTCCCGCGGGGGAGGGCGGGGAGGAGGAACTGCGACGCCCGTCGTCGAGGTGAGCCGTTTTGCGGGTGTCCCAAAGTCGTTCGGCGGTTGTTCCAGCCATGGTCGGGCAGGGTTTGCGGTTTGTTGGGCGTGCCCATGTCGTTCGGCGGTGGCCTCGGCCCTGGTCGGAGACGGGTGGGTGCTCCCCGAAACGCCGTGAGTTGCTGGAGGCTTGATTGATGTGCCCCTTCTGATCTGTGCATCGTGAAGAGGTGCAGCTGGGAAAAACACTCCGGCTCGCGTGGCGTCGGCAAGCTCGTGCCGTTGGTTGCGCCGCTGTCCGGGCGGGTGCGCTGCCGACGGCGGGACGCCCCAACGTTCGGGAGGGTCTTCGTTGATGGGGTTCGACCCGCCTTGTCTCTGGCTGGCCACCGGGATCCCCAGCGTGGACGGCGCCATTGGCGCTCCGCGCAGCCAGGGTCGAGTTTGCCCTGCGTGGGTCAGTGTTTTCGCCGTCCATTCCCACACCGAGAGAGGTTTGTGTCGTGTTTTTTCCGCACCGCGTCATTGGAAGTCGGTTGGGGACCCGATCGTTTTGTGTTCGAGCGGCGCCGAAAGGGTCGGTTTTTACCGACATGCACCAAGTGTACGCGCTGCGCCACTGCTGGTGCGGCCGCCTTCGTGGCGCCGCCGCGTCAGGTTGAAGGGTGATGGGTTTGGTCGGTGCTCGTACGACCCAAGCGCCTCCCCCTAGTCGGCCCCCTGCTTCGGTTCTAGTCGGGGCTTTCCCCGTTCCTTTCCCCCTTTCATCATCCCCCTTCCCAATTCCCCTCCTTCCCCTCTTGCCTCTTTGCCTTTTCCCTTCCTGACTGCATTTCCCCAGGATCGCGCATGGGGGCCGGCCAGGGTTCTTGTCTTAATTTTTTCTGTTGGACCCCTCCCCCGTATTGACTTTGTGGCCCGGCGGCCCAGCGCGCCCGATGGCGTGGCGTGGAACGAAGGAACGGAGGAAGGCAGCACGTGGAAGGAGGGGGATTTTGGGGAGGAGCAGATCCTCCACCCCCCCGCACCCCTTTCTTCCTGGATCCGGGGCTCTGGTTTGTTCCCGCCCTCGGGGCCGCTCTTCCCGGGCTTCGGGCGGGGGCCGACGTGCATGCTTCATGTCATATTTTACATTTCCGGGCCTCCTGGGGCCCCGAACCTTCCCGCACCCACTGCCCCCCCCCCCCCCCAGGCGGCGGATGTGGCGAAATCCAGGCCCCGCTCTGGAAGGCGGCGGGGGCGCGCCGCGGCGAGGCAGTTCGGTTTTGGGGGGGGGGGGGGGGGACGCGGGCGCCGCCCCTTGGAGGCAGCTGCGGCGCCCTCCCGCGGGCTGGGGCGGTGCGGTGGACGTGACCCTGGGAGGAGGCAGCCCGGCCCTTGTTCGCGTCGCGCCTTCCTCGTTGCCTGCCCCTTCATTTAGAGCCCCGAATCATCAGGGGTAACTCGGGTCAGGGTTAACTCGGGTTCCTTTTTCGGGAATCCGAACCCGAGTTACCCTGGGCCCGAGTTGCCCCGGATAATTCGGGCGTCCAGAGCCCCACATCATCAGGGGTAACTCGGGTCAGGGCTAACTCGGGTTCCTTTTTCGGGAATCCAAACCCGAGTTACAGTCGGGGCCCTGAAGAAGGAACCCTTTTGGTTGGGGAGGGGCTCCGCGTTCCTTAAGTGTTTCCCAGCTTGCCTCAGGTTTTCCTTATGTTTTCGATAGGACATCGAAGTTTATTTTATATAACAAAAAGGGGCCTCGTTCCTTATTTTGGGTTCCTTAGGTCAAGGCCCCGACTGTACCCCTGACCCGAGTTACCCCGGATAACTCGGGCGCCCAATTCATTCCTCCCCCCTCGCCGCTCCTTCCGCGCCCCCGTCCCCACTGCTCCTTTTCCTCCCGTTTGCCGCCCTCCCTCCTACATACCACCTGCCTCCTCTTTCCTCCCTCCTTGGCTCCCCCGCTCTCTCAAGTCCATCCCTACCAGTCGAGAGTATGGACGGGTATATGGTATATGAGTTCAGAGCCTCAGAAGGTACCGAATATACCTCGTAGCGATCGGCCCTTCCCGCCACCGTGCTGCTTGGGTTGTGGGTCGGAGGCGTCTGCGTCTCGGATGCGTCTTAGGTTTAACAGGGATGTTCCTGGAGGGCTGTTGGGTGCCTCTTTGGAGCCTCTTGAAGGCCTCTTGGGGCCCTATTCGGGTAGAAGCCGAGACTGTTAATCTCTTTGACACACGTTTTACGTGTTCAAACGAATGTGGTCTCTTGGGCCAGCCCGGGTGTTCCAATACGTTTCAATCATGTGTTTTTGTTTCCTTTTTTGTTGTTCGTGCATGCCGATGTTATCCTGTTCGGGCTCGGCAGCCGACTTGTATTCCTCGACGTGACCGCATCTCCGCTGCAGGGCTGCACTCGCGTCGTCGGTTTGATTGTTGAGGCCTGGCGGCCAGCGCCGCCGACCCTGAATTGGGGAGCTGCGGGCGCCTCGGGGGCATGGCCATGGAATCGAATGGGAACGCTTCCGAAAGGGAGGGGTGCTCCCCCACGAGGCGGGGGTCACAACCCCCGGGATGCCCCCTCTTCTCGGGACGACCGACATGGGCACGGAAAGAATGGGTACGATGCCCAACAGCAGTTCCTGTTCATTTCGAACAGGACTCGCTGTCCACGCCGCCGCGGCCTGTGTCTATTTGAGACAAAAGGCTGCCTGCCCAACAGCGGCCGCTGTTGGTTTGGGACAACACTTGCTGTTGGGCATTGTACCGTACCATTCTTCCCGGACCCATTTCGGGAGTCCACATCCTCCCCCACCACCCGGAGACCCCCCCGCCGGCGGGGAAGGGATCAGAAGCTAGAGGCTCCCCCACGAGTTGATGACGACGATGTTCGACTTCTCTTTGACTGGAGCGTCTGAACAGGAGGGCCCACGCACTGGGACAGGGGAGCGCGGTGACGACGGCGACGACGACGCCGGCGACGACGACGACGGTTCAGACGGAAAAGCTTCTCACACACGCCGGCAGAGTCGGCGTGTTTTGGTGGCGCTGGGTCAGATCTCCATCCTCTCTGTCGGCCCCCTTCTTCCAGAGCTCCCCAGGCCGCCGGGAATCTGGAGGCCCCCCGGGGGTCCAAACGGCCTCCAGAGGTCTCCAGAGGGCCCAAGGCGCCCCGGGCCTCAAGCTTCGAAACGGATTCTGCGATCCGTAATTCTCCTCCCCCTCCCCCTCCTCCTCCTCCTCCTCCTCCTCCTCCTCCTCCTCCTCCTCATCCCTCCTCCTCCCCCTCTGCCCTTCTCGCTCCCCCGCCCGGCAGTGTTCACGCTGGTCGCTGTCGTCATCGTGGTAGTCTTCGAAGCGCTCCGCGGGTTGGGCGCGGGGTGCCAAAACGCGGGGCCCGTGGCGAGAGCACGGAGGGCGGACGGGGGACGGAGGAGGAGGGCGAGGACTTGTTGGTGACGTTTTCGAACGTGTTTCGTATCTGCCGGACCTCCCGACGTTTCTGGAGAAGGAGTACCTTCCCCCTTTTTCCTCACCGTCCTCCTCGCCTTTCTATTCCCCCCTCCCCTCGTCCACCTCCTTTCTCTTCTCCTCCTTTCTCTCCTCCTTGTCTCCTCCCCCCGCTCCTCCTCGGTTCTCCCCCCCCGACTTGTCTGGCTGATGCTCTGGGGAGGGGGGGCTGTGCTCAGGGGAGGCTGCAGCACCGCTCCACGATGTGCTGCCAGCCAAACCCGAAGGGTGGGCCCTCTCCCTTTCTCTGTGCACTTCAGCTCCGGCTTCGGCTTCAACTGCCGATGCACCGTGGAGCGCCTTTGGGCCGGCTCGCCCGAGTCTCGGATGTTCTGCTCGCACGGGTGGTCCCGTCCCCCCACCCCCCTCTTCCTGCGCTCGCAGCGGTCGCGCTTGATAGTGGGGGAGGGTGGAGGGGGACGGGGGAGGTAAAGGAAGAGCGTGGTGGTGGAGGAGGAGAACTGAGAGGAGGTATGAGGTCTGTTTCTCGTCGTCTTGCTTCCCTACCGCATGGTCGCGTTGGTCCTGGTGGGCAGAGGGTGTGGGCGTGTTTTCGTTGCGCTCGTTTGTGTAAAGACCGCGTTGACGTTGGCAGGACGAGAGAGTTGGAGCGTGCAATCGCCGAGGGAGGGTCTCTTCAGAAGCAGAGGGACCCGCTCAGAAACCCACAGACAGCAGACCCGGGCGTCGGTGGAATGGGCGGAAATTCGCAAGCTCACGCCTTGCAGACAACCGTCAGATCGTCCACACGGGAGGCAGCGGCGAAGTGCGTTGAATGACGCGTTCGACGCAGGCGGCATTTCATCAGAGCACTTGCGACTTCTCAACGTGGAGTGATGCCACCCAGCTCTGATTCAGACCACCGCTTGCAATCCGTTGTAACTTCCCATCGCGTACCAGCTCCATATGAGGAGGTGCCTGCAGTAAGACGTTGATGAAGGCTGTGTACACAAGGCTTGAAACCACTGCCGCAACGCGATGCGTAGCGATTCAACAAAAGCAAACTCAAGGGTTGCACGTGCCAGGCAAAACAAAATGACAGCAGTAGCCATGAGGATGCGAAACTTTGGCTAGTACCGTATGCGGCTTACATCGATTCTCACCTGTGCCGCGGCTGTCCTGTATGCGCGCACTGCTTCGCCTCCGCCCGCTCTCTTGCCGAGCTGACATTCACGCGTCGTGTGCTGCTGCTGCGCAGGCAGAGGTTCGGGGCTTGGGAGCGCCGGTTTCCGGCTGGTGTTCACGTGCCTTTGGTCTTGTTTAGTGCAGCGTGTTGGTGATGGGCTTGTTTCCCACCACCACCACCAGAAGTTGGAGGGGGTGGTGGTGGTGGAAAACAGGCCCATCAGTCGGCGCTTTCGCCCACCAGTGTGCAGCAGGGCGCCACGGAAGAGAGAGGCATCCGACCAGGAGTGAAGCAACGCTCAGGCCACAGAGAAGAGGGTTCGCTTGAGTTCGTAGAGCCTTGCGCCCCCGCCACCCAGGCTGCGGCCTGGCACGGACAACATCAAACATGAGCAGGAAGTGGACACATCATGGACACAATATTCTAGACGCTTCGCCTCACCCCACCAGCCTATCCAGAAACGATGCCCAGGCGAGTTGCCTTGATCAGGGATGTGGAGGAGCATGCAGCGTAATATACAGCTGGGGAAGCTGCCGTAGCCCAAGAGGGAGAGGATGGAGGAGGAATCGAAGGAGGAGCAGGATGAGGAAGCGGGGGCGGGGGAGGGGGAGGAGGGGGGAGGGAGGAGAAGAACCATGCGGATGAGGAAGACGAGGAGGAGATGAGGAGGAGGAAGAGGAGGAGCAGGAGGAGGTGGAGGAGGAGGAGGAGGAGGAGGAGGAGGAGTAGGCGGAGGAGACGGAGGAGGAGGGTGAGGAGGTTGAGGAGGAAGTTTGATGATGATGACGATGATGATGATGATGATGATGATGATGATGATGATGATGATGATGATGATGATGATGATGATGATGAGGATGAGGATGAGGATGAGGATGAGGATGAGGATGAGGATGAGGATGAGGATGAGGAGGAGGAAGAGAAGGCGGCGAGCACCAAGGCCAGCGGATTATTTGATGTCTCTCGGAGTCTCTTCGGATGTCTATTGACAGTTTCTTGGGGTCTCATTGGGGCGTTTTAGGGGCATCTTGAGTGTCCCAGAGGCCTCATGGAGTGTCTTGGGTGCCTCGGGAGGGCCTCTTGGTGCTTCTTGGGGTTTTCTTGGGAGCCTCTTGGGGACCTCTTTGGGTCGTCTTGGGGCACCTCTGGTAGCCTTGGGGGCCATCTTGGGGCCGTCTTGGATGAGATTGATCGAAGAAGGAGGGGTGGTACTATGTTCCATCCCCCTGCCCCGAGGAGGCTACCATCTGCCCAACATCTTAGCATAATCAGTGATTTGTGCCTTGTCGCCGAGGCCTTCATGGATGCCCCAATCGGTCGCGAACCCCCCTGCCCAGGTCCAGGGGGAAGGGTCGGGGGAAGGGGTCAAGACACCCTCTCCGCCAGCAAGCTGTTTCGCTCACTCCCAAGCGCCCTCCCAGCACATAAGTAACACCCGGGCCACTCCCAAGCGCCCTCCCAGCACGTAAGTAACACCTGGGCCTCAGCATGTTCAGCGGCCGTCTATCGATGGACAGCCACTGGCAACCACTACAGACCCCCTGTGCCCGACCCCGCCGTTTCGGGCAGAAACCTATGCACAGTGATCGCGGGGTGCCCGCGCCTTATCCAGATTTAGTTTCGAATTGCATCTTGTATTGTTTTTGGACTGGGATGCTAGCCGTGTCCCCCAGGCGACCCGCAGCCAACCAGGACGAATGAGGACCCCCCCTTCATTTTCCCTTTCAGAAAACAAGGTGGAGTCCACTGGGGCAAAGTCTTTGGTCATGATCGGGTGTCGCGAGCACTTTGTATTTGTATTGCTTGTTGATCGGGAAGCTGGCCCTGCGCACGGTAGGCAATATGCGGGCACTTCCGCCGTCCCTGTCTTCAAACAATGCAAAGTGCTCGCGCCCCCCCGACCATGACCCAAGATTCTGCCCTAAAGTAGACTTCACATTTTTTTGACAGTGATGGTGGGGGGGGGCGGCCCTCGTTGGTCCTGGTTGGCTGCCGGTCGCCTGAGGGAGGGGATATTAATAAACAGGGAGCAGTGATGAACCCTTCCCCGAAGAGGAAGAGAGGGCGTTGGAAGAGAGAATGCGCTAAACCACTCAGGCCCAGGGCTGGTGAGATGTCGCCCAGCCGCGCAAACAGCACACGAGGATGAATACCAGAACCCCAGGCGTGCAGCGTGACTTCCAGACGCAGCGTGGAAACACTTGGCCCGCTCGGAAGCCTCGCCAGGGGGGAAGCCTCGATCAGCTTGTGTATCGTAAAGAAGGGGGACGACGACGAGGATGATGAGGCTGGGCGGCTCATAGCCAGGATGAGGATGTCGATGCGGACGAGGCTGGATGATGACAGGGATGTTGAAGAGGATGAGGATGAGGAGGTTGGTCAGGAGGAGGAGGAAGGTGAAGCTGAGGATAGAAAGCAGGAGGAGCACAGTAGGAATCCATCACGGGGAGAGGGTGGAAGATAAGTGGTAGGGGGGGTTATGGGAGACAGGGGGGCAGGGGGTGGAGTGTGTAAATGAGGACAGAGTGCCAAGGGAAGACCGAGGATCGGTAGGGCGCCGGCGAAGAAGGGAGGATATGCATGCCGTCCTGATCTGAATGTGGCTTTCGCTGTAGCTCCGCTTGACGGTCAGCCTCGAGGAGTCGATACACACATATCACTACATGTACACATACTTATGTAATGTCTGTCCATGTATACGTATGTATGTGTCTTCATGGAGAGAGAGAGAGAGAGAGAGACACACAGCAACCACAAAAACACAAGAGTGACAGATAGGGATACTCATGTGTATGTACAAATTTGTTATATACGCGCACACATACATGTACACATACATCTATATATATATATATATATATATGGGCACAAGGTGCTTACACGCACACAATCTTCAGGAGAGGGAGCAACGAGTGAGTGATATATATATATATATATAGAGAGAGAGAGAGAGCATCCAGACAGAGAGAGAGGCACCGCGCGAAAGAGAGAGAGAGAGAGAGACAGAGAGAGAGTGAGAGCGACCGAGCAAGTGAGCGAGCTACATGGACACAGGGGAGATATGGACAGATCTTGATAGTGACAGAGGTGGAGAAAGAGAGAGAGAGAGAGAGTGAGAGAGAGAGAGAGACCGCAACACAAGTCAAAGTGATAACGACACATATACACATACACATGTACACATGTACACATACCCATAAGCACATACATTGGTGTGAATTGTAGGTAATTGGCGTTGGCGCTTCTGCGTCGCTGGCGAAAGCGATCAAGGTTTCATTCTGTGCATGATGGAGCGACGCGGACATCCGAGGGACACCGTAATGCATCTTGACCCGACGAATGTCAAGCTTTACCATCGGGGCCGCGATCGATTCAAGGTCGAACGATCGACGCGGTGTCGAATGTCTGCACGCGCCGACGCCATGCGTAGAGAGAGAGAGAGAGAGAGAGATCGAGAGATAGAGACATTGAGACTCAAAGGAAGGGGGAGGAGGAGGCTGGTGGAGGTTGAGGATTATTGAGGGAGAGAGGACGCTGAGAGGTGGGGAAGAGTGATCTATACATACTTATATATAGATACATATGGAAAAATAGGGAGAGAGAAAGAGATAGAGAGATAGACATATAAATAACAAGAAAATAAGAGAGAGGAATATCGAGAGGATGCCATAGCGAGAGCGCAAAAGCGAGAGTGAGAGAGAGCGAGAGGGAGCGAGGGTGACAGGGAAAGAGAGAGAGAGAGAGAGAGAGAGCCAGAGGGAGGGATGAATGGATGGAGAGGGAGGGAGAAGGATGGGGGGAGAGGGAGAGCGGAAAGGAGAAGGAGTGAGGGAGGGAGAGGGAACGAGATAATGTAAGAGAAGAGAGGGAGCGGGTGAGGGTTATGATAGTAGTAGGAGGAGGGGCAAGACGAGGATGAGTATACGAATGTTCAGACAATGTTGCTCAGCAGTTTCCGCAGATCAGCAAAAGTGAAATCTGGTGAAGATGTGAGTGAGTGTCTTTTTGACGGAGCTGAGGACATGAAGGAAGCCTGACAATTACATCGCTTCGTTCTGTCAGGCGTTGCCTCCGACGTTTGCGTCGCCCTTGCCCAGGCTGCTGCTGGGCATCGCGCGGCTCCTCGAGCTAGGACCGCGGTCCGGCCATCGCTGGTCACTTCGCCTCTCCTTTCTTAAGTGTCCCGGGTCGACCATGTTCCAACCGTCTAACGCGTGCGGCTAGCAAGACACTAACAACATCAATAACACAATCCATATAACCACGGCCATTCTTCTTCGGCACTGAAAACATATTCTAAGAAACAACACCTGGAAATCGAGAAGGTCGGGGTTAGCGAATGTCTGGCGAGAGACACCGCGGGCTGGCGAAAGGGGGGGGGCCGCCGTCGTCGTCGCCGTCCCCGTCGCTGTCGTGGCCGCCGTCGTCGTCGCCACCGTCGCCAGCCTCCTGCAGGGTCCCTTTCGATCCGATCGTATTGAATCGATACCGATTTCGGCTCGCTCGATCCGTTTCGATTCCCGTATTCCGACGAGCCCATGCGGCCCGATTGTTCATGGCGCTGTTGTTCTACATCCGGGCGCGGCCGATCCGAGACGATCTGCATCTCGTGCCGATGTGGCCTGGTCCCCCTGCACGGTCCAATCTGGTCCGATTTGTCCCGCCTCGATGCTGACTGCTGCTTCCCCCTTGGGAGCCCTCCACAGAGCAGCAGCAGCGCGATCCAGGAGGTTTCGTTCTCGTCTCTGGGAGGCCCGGGGCTTTCGGGGTGCGGACTCGCCGCAGGCCTCGCCCCGCAGCCGGGGCGTCACGCCGCGAGGTGCCACCGTGCGGACGGGCTGCTTCTCCGCGTGCCCCTTCCCACCAGCCTTGCCCTGCAGCACGTGCTCACTGCAGGTACGACTCTTCCGCCTCCTCCGCCTCCTCCTCCTCCTCCTCCTCTTCCTCCTCCTCCTCCTCTTCCCCCTCCCCCTCCCCCTCCTCCTCCTCCTCCTCCTCCTCCTCCTCCGCCTCCTCATCCGCCTCCTCCGCTTCCTCCGCCTCCTCGTCCACCTCCCTCCTCATCTTACATGAGTCGGGGAGCCCCCCCGCCCCTCCTGCTCGGTTGCGAATCCTCGGAGGTCAGATCCGGTGTCGTCGCTGGCCTATATCCGCCGTCCCCAACCCCATCCTGTCTGTCTTTGCAGCCCCTCGACGCTCCGCGCCCGTCGTCGAAGGTAGGTATTTGGGGACCCCAAGAGCCCAATCTTTTTCAGCCGCCTTCCTACCTCACGAGATGAACGGTTTTTTCATCTTCCTTCCTACTCAGGGGGCGGGGTGAAATCCAATTTACTGCCAGCGCCTTCCTACTTCATGTTTCCACCCACCTCTTCCGACCGAAGGGTATGTTTTAGCTTGGGCTTGTTCTGTCCTCATCCGGCTGGGTGGCTTCTTGGTTGGGCCTGGTAGCCCTTCATCGTTTCCATGAAGGACTCCCAGGAGTTGCCCTCCCCATAGCTCATGAGTGGACATCGTGTCCGTATTCACGGCCTCGCGGGCTTGGCCCCTGGGCCGAGCCTCTGTGGACTGGGCGCGGTCTTTCGCGGATACCCCGCGCGGAATGTTGCCGTGCAACCGCGCATCCTCAAGATCACCCCCCCCGAATCCCGACCGCGAGGGCGTGGCTGTGGCTGCGCTCGCCGCTCGGGACCACCCGCCCCCTCCCCCGCAGGAGGGCGGGGCAGCGTCCCGGCGAAAATGCGTCTCCTCAAGGTCGCGAACCCCCGAAGCCAGACTCGCGAGGGTCCGCGGCCACTCTGGCTGGAGCATCGGCCTCCCCCCCCCCCGCCGCCCCCTTTCCTGGCCCTCAAAGCCCCCCCCCTGCCGCGGGGGCCGCGGCATGGCCCTTGCCAGGCACGGCCCTGCGGCGGCCGCGCTCGCGTGGGGCCTGCTCCTCGCCCGCGCCGCGCCCGTGGAGGGCGGCCTGGCGACGGGCTCGCGCACCCGCCACGCTGCCAACGAGGCACGCCGCCTGGCGGGTAGTTTGAACCGCCTCAGCGGCCTCGAGTACCTCTTCCTACCAGCCTGGAGCATGCCCCTATCCCTATGCTGGGCACCTCCTCATCACGATGCCAATCTTAGGGGTTCCCTTATTTTTTGAGGGCGGATCCCTGAGATTGTCATCGCCTTTTGGCGTGTCAATCTTAGGGATAGGGATACGCTCGAGGCTGGTAATCTTCAGCGGCTACGACATCTTCTTCGGGAACCCGAAGCCCACGAGCGGCGACGTCGACACGGGTTTCCGGGGCAGGGTGTTCAAGGAGGCCCACGCCCGCAGCAATTCTTTGCCGGACGGCACATCGGTTCCCGACGGGGTCTCCGCGCTGATGTGCGAATCCTCGTGCTCCCTGCTCTCGACGACGAAGTCGATCAAGAGCCTTCAGGACTATTACAACTTCCTCTCAATGAGCGTCTATGTGGACATCGGGTTCGGAGACATCGCCAAATTTTCGGCGTCTGCGGACTACAACCGTGTCAGGGAGGACTTCGAGACTCACGACAGCGTCTACACCACAGTCACTGCCTACTGCTGCGCATATGAGGCGTTCCTCCACACGTTCGAGCCCCCGCCTTTCGACGACAACTTCTTGGCGGCCGTGCATGCGGCTCCAGAAGATTACGACCAGGACTTCTACTTCGGACTTATCGGAAGTTTTGGAACGCATGTTCTGTCGAGCGCTCAAATGGGTAGTATGTACGGCGAGGAGAGCCATTTCACAGAAGACCAGTACAACAAAATGACGGCAGCGAATCGCAATTGGTCACTAATGGCGCAGGCTTCCTTCATGGTTTCTGTCAATATGAGCATCGCGAATGGAGCCGACATGTCGTCGGCAAAGTCCTTCGAGAAGTTTAGCACTGTTACCTTGAAGTACTCGTTGGGGGCGACGCCAGCAAAGTGGGACCCTGAGGATTGGCTGTCGGCAACGCTTCAGAGGCAGCCAGTACCCACCTCGTTTAAACTCAATCCGCTGAGCGAGGTATTCACGGTACTTACTTTTCCGAACCAGTCGAACGCGACGAAGCTCGAAGCCACGAGAAGAAACGTGGAACGGGCCCTGAAGGAGTACTGCCCAGAGAAGCTGCTGAGGGAGGGGAAGGTTCACAGCTGCACGAAGGTCATGACCGAAGCCGACACGACAGCTGACGACAAGACCTGCCTCGTCAAGGTCTGGGGCGGAGGTGGCCCCAGCGGCCTGCCTTTCGACGACTCCGCCCAGATGGTCGAGCTCAACGGCCTGTTCTCAAGCCTCCAGGTGTCGCAGATCACATACCGCAGCCACCGCTGGGTGGACAGTATCCAGCTTGAGCTGGGTCTGGGCGGCACGAGGTGGCCCCTGCCAGAGCATGGCGGGAAGGGTGGCGCGACAGGCACGCTGACCTTCTCGGAGAGCCAGAGAGTCGTCGCCGTCGACTTGAGGTACGAGAGGTACATCGACGCCGTGCACTTCTGGACGGACGACGGCATGGAGCACATCGTCGGCGGCCCCGGCGGGAGCTACTCGAGGACGGTGGACTTCAAGCAGGCCGTATGGAACGCGACGGGACACCTCCCCGAGAGCGCGTGGCTGGTGGGCCTGTATGCGGGCAAGACTTATATCCATATCCAGTGCCTCTTGATTCTTAGGCTTACGCCACACCGCCGACCCCTTGTTTATGCCAATCTGGGGGTAGTAGAAGCTGCGAAGGGGTGAAAAGGCGAGTGATATTTGTTTGGTGTCTGTTCGCCGCCACCGCCAGAGGGTCTCGGGCAGTTCCGCGGGGGGGTCCGAGCGGACGGCGACACCGCGAGTTTTGGAGCCACTTGGGGGCCGTTTCGGAGCCTCTGGGGTGCTTCTTGGGGGTTCCTTGGGGCGTCTGGGCGGCCTCGTGAGGGCCTCTGGGGGCCTCTTGGGGCACTCTTGGGGCCCCCTGGGGCTCCTGGGGGCAGAAAGCTAGAGTTTCAACATGTTTGGTCGCCCTCTTGGGCCCCTCTTGGTGCCGTCTTGGAGCCCTCTTGGGCCGTCTTGGGGACCTCTTGGGCCGTGTTGGGGCCGTCTTGGGCCGTCTGGAGGCCGTCTTGGGGGCCTCTTGGGCCATCTTGGGGCTGTCTTTGGGGCCTCTTTGGCCGTCTTGGAGCGTCGGGAAGCCGAAAAGGCGGAAAAGCAAAAAACATCGAAAAACACTATGGAAAATCAACAATTTTAGACTCTTGGGGCCCTCTTGGGAGGCTTGTTTGGGACCTCGGGGGCCGTCTTGGAGACCTCTTGGCCCGTCTTGGGGCCATCTTGGGCGTCTTGGAGCGGTCGTTTGGCGTCTCGGGGCCTTCGTGGGCCGTCTTGGAGGCCTCTTGGGGGCTTCTTGGCCCGTCTTGAGGCCCTCTTGGGCCCGGAAAAGCCCCGTGAACCGCTCGTCCCGGCCGTGCTGCGCTCGTGCCGGACCCCCCCCCCCCTCCAAATCGACCGGACCGGGCTCCCGGGGGAGGGGTTTGGGGAGGGGGAAGCATCTCACACGCCGATGATCCCCAAGGGGTCGGCGGATTTTTTGGAAGAAGCGCCTCAAGGCCGAGGCGCAGTGGATGTGGATAAAAACCTAGCCTCTACGGTGGGCAAATTTATCCATATACAGTGTGCCTCGGGTTTCTGGGGAAGGGAACCCGAAACTCCATACTGCAGTGGATATGGACAGAAGTATTGCCCGCACTGTACGGCCACTCCGAACGGTACGTGGACTCCCTCGGCTTCTACGTGGCCTACACTTGCTCCCCCTCGGCGCTGCCCGGGCCCGCCGGGCTGGCCCGCACGCCTGGCCGGCTGGCGGGCGGCGTGGCCGCAGCGGGGCCGCCGCGGGCGCCCTCGCCCTCCGCCCTGCGCCTGGCGGACGTCCGCTAGCGCCGGGTTCCCCGGTCGGCGCTGGGGCTCTCGGGCTCTCCACGAGTTCCCTTCGGGTGTCGGGTGTCAGTTGCCCTTTTCGGGCCAGACGAAAGGGGGGGATTGGGAAAGGGGGGGTTACGAAATTTGCTGCATGCAGCTGGTTTCGGCCCCTCCGAGGGGCCCCTTCCTCGATACACAGTCGCCTCCGGCGCCGGGAGGCGCCGGGAAAATCAGCTACGCGAGCTGATTCTCACCCCCCCCCCTTTGCTATCCCCCCCTTTCGCCCGACCCGACCTTTGTCTCCCGTCCTTCGCAGCTGCTCGTGGCGACGGAGGGGGGGGGCTCGCCGCGTCGCCGCCAACAGAGAGCGGCCGCTGCAGTGCGGCGGGTGAGGTGACGGGTTGGCGTTCAAGAGGGCACCGCAGCGAGCCAGGTGCGCAGCAGCTCCCAGGCATCCGACGCCGAGGCTTTTTCAGCATCGGGTCCCCAGAGCGCTTGACCCCTTCCTGTCGTGCCGAGTTCTCTGACTGCCCCCCCTCATCTTTCCCAGCCCCGACGCGGCTTTCATGGAGGTCGTGCCGATTTTGTTTCTTTGGATTGGCGCTGACAGAGCGCAGGTCGGTTCCAGCACAGCCGTCTCTTAGTAGACTACGCGTGCGGGACTTGACCAACCGCTGCCATGGTCATACACAACCTCTCCCGGACACGGCAAGAATGCAGGGAACAGCTTGTGTCGTATAGTAATTGCCGAACTACTCAAGCTCACTTCTAGCTGGCGAGCCCATTACAGCACGGGATCTGCTGGCTGCGCGCATGGCAAGTTTGGCATTGGCATTGGCAAGTTCCTCGCCTCAATTCCCACACAATTTGTGAGCGTGCCCTCCCGTGAGGCTTTCATCCTCCTAGCTCTTGTCTTCGTTTTGCCGCAGCCGCCCACGGCGGCGTTCTCCTCCAGCTGCCTCGTCTGGCCAAGCTTTCAGCTGCGTGCAGGCCTCCCGCTGAGGCCTCTCGACACCGACAATTGGCGACTTCTCGGCAAGAGACTCCGCTTGAAGAAAGCGGGGGTCACAGCCGATCGGTCTCCATTTTTCGGCCGTGAAGGTGTAGGTCCTTTTGGTTGTGGATGCCGAGAAAAAAATCAGACCGCGAGGGCGTGGATGTGGATGCGCTCGCCTCTCGGGACCACCCACCTTTCCCCGCAGGAAGGCGGCAGCTTTCCAGCGGCCGCGTCTCCTCAAGATCGCACCCCCGTATCCAGACCGCGAGGGCGGCGATGTGGATGCGCACCTCTCGGGACCACCCACCCTCCCCCGCAGGAAAGCGGCAGTTTCCCAGCGGCCGCGTCTCCTCAAGATCACACCCCAGAATCCAGACGGCGTGGATGAGGCGGGGGAGGAGGGGGAGGAGGGGGAGGAGGTAAGAAGAGAGGGAAGGAGGAGGGAAGGAGGAGGAGGGAAGGAGGAGGAGGAGGAGGAGGAGGAGCAGGGGGAGGAGGAGGAGGAGATGGAGGAGGAAAATGCGGAGGAGGGAAGGAGGAGGAGGAGGAAGAGGACGACGCAGTCTCCCCCGCAGGAAGGCGGCAGCTCCCCAGCAAGCTGTGCTCCGCCGACCAGCCCTGCGCCGCGCTCGCGGCGGCGCCGGTGTGCCTGCTGTGGGCAGTGTGGCTGCCGCTGTGGCTCCTCCGGGGGGGGGCACCTCCTCTGCGCCCAGGCCCTTGAGTCGCGGGCAATCTTGATATCCTTGTGGAAGGCGACCAATGGAGAGGAGGCACATTGCCAAGCAGCTTCCAGATGTCTAGCAACACATGTCTGACATGTGTTTCTAGAGTGTCAGCACGTGTTCGAGACACATGCTTTGGCCATATTTAAAGCATGTAGAAGACCCTTTAACCACATCAGTAAGTCAATGATGGAACGCTTAGAGTGTCTATTGTCATGGCATCCACAATTATATCCACATCCAGTGCGTCTTGGACTTCCTTGGAAGGGTCACCGCAAGGCCGAGGCGCGCTGGATAGGGACAAACATCGAGCCTCTACCAGGGGCCACATGCTTCTATCGCTCATCCCGATCCAGTGCGCCTCTGGGGTCTGGGGAGGACAACCCGAAGATCCAGGCTGCAGTGGGTACGGACACACGAGCCCTGCCCTCACTGCAGAGCTGCGGCAAGGGTGACTCCGCTTTTCCCTCCCGCGCCTCGCCTCGGGGCCCCCCCTAGAGCGTGTGCTGGCCGCGCGGTGTGGGCGAGCCAGTGGGGCTCCCGGGCTCCCCGCGCGGCCTCGGGCGCCCCGGGCGCCCCGAGCGCGCCTCGCGAGCGCCTCAGACTCGGCAGGCTCCGCGGCCGCCTCGGGCGCCTCGGGCCTCCAGGGACGCCCACGGGGCCGTGCGGCGGCGGCCTCTGCGCGGGCAGGCCTCCGGGCCTGTGCAGGTCCCCGCACGATCCTCCTCCTGCTCCTCCTCCCCCCCCTCCTCCTCCTCCTCCTCCTCCGCCTCCTCCTCCTCCTCCTCCTCCACCTCCTCCTCCTCCTCCCCCTCCCACTCCCCCTCCTCCTGCCTCCTCCTCCTCCTCCTCCTCCTCCTCCTCCTCCTCCTCCTCGTCCTCCTCCTCCTCCCCCTCCCCCTCCCCCTCCCCCTCCTCCTGCTCCTCCTCCTCCCCCCCCTCCTGCTCCTCCTCCTCCTCCTCCTCCGCCTCCTCCTCCTCCTCCTCCTCCTCCTGCTCCTCTCCTCCCTCCTCCTCCCTCCTCCTCCTCCTCCTCCTCCTCCTCCTCCTCCTCCTCCTCCTCCTCCTCCTCCTCCTCCTCCTCCCCTACCTCCCCCCCCGAGGTGAGGACCCCGAGTTGCTGCAGTAGAAGCCCCTCCTCCCCTACCTCCCCCCCCGAGGTGAGGACCCCGAGTTGCTGCAGTAGAAGCGTCCGCCGTCGGAGGTCCGCGCGGGCCTCTGGATCTGCGCTGGGTGCCCCCCTGCGGCGTGGACTCCCGCTCCGCGCGCCGGGGAGGGGGGGGCCCTGCAGCGTCGATCGAGGAGGTCCCCGCGGAGCTCCGGAAGTTTATGGTCACGCCGCTGTTTCTCCACCGATTCCGAACGCTCCAGGCTCGAAAGCACGGCCCTGCTGGACGGGGTCGAGATTCCGGGGCCCGTGTCAGGACGAGCGTCGTGACGCCAGGTATCTGGGCCCTCCTCGTCCCCCTCGCCGTCTTCCATCCCAGTTCATTCGGTGAACAGATCACTCCTCCCTGTCGCATCCCAGGACGTATCGGTGGGCGGGCCAGCCGTTTCGCCTGACATATCCTCACCTTTGATGACCTTTGAGCTTGATCGTTGCAACAGCTCTACGCGTGGAGGGGCAGTGAATGAATGGTATTCAGAACGGGCTTTTCGCCACAGCGCTGCTCACACTTGTCAAACAATATTCCAGGATAGCGCTGCGCATATTGGATTATTTGCAAGTGTGGGGTGAGATCGTTTTCAAAATGGAGATATTCCCTTTGCATTGCGCACATTCGTCTTAAACAATTGACGCAGCCACAAGGACAGAGCGCGTTTTTTTGTGCGAACTGAGGCTTTCATCTCAGTGGTGCGCACATTTGCCTGTCACGTTTCCAGCAGGTACGTACGAGGTTGGAGAACGGCTCCTTTTCAACATAAGAATCTCGCCTACGATTGCCTCTTATGAGTATCCGTACGGGCTTCGCCCTCTGCTACCGGCCCCCTCTCCATCCTATGGAATTTGCAGGAGCCCTGGCGCCACCATCGCAGAGCGGACGTCGTTCGGAAAACACTCGGATGGGCTCGGATTTTCCTGGAGAGTGTCGCTCCGGATTTCGAAGGGACTTTCGTGCGGATTTCTTTCGGCCAGGAATGACGACTACACCAAATCCACGTGAAACTCCTTTCGTTTTTCGCTCGCCGTTTCGAGGCTTTACCTTGACCGAAATCCACGAACAAATCCGCTGCAGCACGTCTGCAAGGTCGGTGCACTGACCTGTTGGGATGCCTGGGCGCCGTCGTACCGAAACCTCGTGCGAGGACGACTGGTCACCTGCAAGCTAAATTGTTGACGCTTCGCCAATCCTCACCAGCCCATCCAGAAACGATGCCCAGAGGAATTGCCTCGATCAGGGAAGTGGGCAGCACACAGAGGAAGCCATTACGAGACATCTTGGGATATCTTGAGCCATCTTGGAGGTCATTTTGGGCTCTCCCAGGCGCTCTTGGAATCATCTTAATCAGTGCCCCCCCCAAGAGGCCATCATGTGGCTAAAACCTTCGTAGAATCAATGATGTGGCATTCTCGCCGAGGCCTCTTGGAGCATCTTGGGTGCCTCTGGGGGGTCTCTTGGGGCCTCTTGGGGGTCTCTTGGGCGCCTCTTGGGGGCATCCAGGGGACCTCTTGGGGCTTCCTGGCCACCTCTTCGGGCCCTCTTGGGGCACCCTTGGGAGCCTTGGGGGCCATCTTTGGGTCACCTTGGGTGAGATCGATCACAGGAGGGGGGGGTACTAATTTTCAGCCCCCCCCCCCAGGAGGCCAAAATGGGGCCAAACACATAGTAAAAACAATGATTTCCGCTTCCTCGCCGAGGCCGTTTTGGACGCCCTGACACCTCGCGAAACCCCTTGTCCATGTCCAGGGGAGGGGGTAGGGGGAGGGGTAAACCCCTCCCCGAAGGGGAAGAAGGAGGGGTGGAAGAAGAAACGCTCTAAACCACCGACGCCCAGAGGGCTGGTGGGATTGATATCCAGATGCTGGCGTTGAACTCTGTGCTGCCGTCTGCGAACTTTCCCACATGCTGTGTATCGGCTGCCCACTTGAAACGACTGTGGGCTGCCTGAGGCTACGTCGGGCAAAATCGCGCTGTTTGGACGGTCTCAAGGGCTCCTCGTGCCGGGCGGCGCGGGAACCTGCACGCGGGGTCGAGCACGAGGTGGCACCCGCGAGGGGACAGGAGCGAAGCTTCAGAGCTGCCGCAGCGGCGGCTCGGCGAGAGCACCGGGCGGCCCCCTCCCAGGCGGCCCCCCGTTCCAGAGGAGCGCGGCGAGACCGACGCGCGCGCCGCGGCTCCGCTCCTCTGGGGCCACATGCGAACCCTGCCCCTACCCCCCACGATTTCTGGGGGGCAGGGGCAGGGTTCGCGTGTGGCTCCCTAGCTCCCTGCCACGCCTCCTGCAGCGCCGACGACCGAGCGTCCACGCCGAGCGGGGGCGCGCATGCTGCGCCACGGGGCTCCCCTGGGCATCGCTCGGGCGTGTGCATTCCTCCTTCGGCGAGGGCCATCGAGGATCATCCTTGATCAGTTGGCGAACAAACCACGCACGAAACCGAAACAAAAACACAGGGAATGGACGTCCGAGCGATGGCGAGTCCCCCCCCGGGCAGGGAGGGGCGCCGCGGCGGGGCGGCGGGCGGCGAGGAGCCCGGGGGAGCGCGGCGGCGGGGAGCGGCAGGCTCCTGTCCGTGATCGTCCTGTGCGTCGGCGTGGTCGCCCTGGAGCTGGTGGCCCTTTTTGCATATGACCTCTGCCTTTTAGCATGAAGTCGGGCCCCTCTCCCTCTGCAGGAGGCACACTCCCAAGTAGTACAGAAGTAGCAGGGGAACGAATTTTCGATCATTTGCAGTATTCGAGCATCGTATTCTTGGAGTATGTCGTATCTTGTACTTCGAGCACTCCCCAATAGTTCGATTCTTTTGTGGTATGTTTGAGCATCGTTTTTGTTGGAGCATGTATTGTGTTTCGTCAAACATCCGCCTATATGGGGGGCATGCCCGACCTAGCTCTGGGGCCTCCTCTCCCAGGAGGACACGAGGGCCCTCCCGGATCGTTTTCGGAGCAAGCCCGGGGCCCGTGGAGGTCCCCGGGAGCCCCCGGGGCGGCCAAGAGAGGGGGTGATGACCAAGGGGGGGGGGTGGATATCTCATGGCGGGAGCCATGGTGCTTCCCCAGACTTCATGGCGCCTCTGCATATTTCAATGCGTCCCCAGCCACCCCCCCTCGGGCCGCGGACACGCCGCCGGCCATGATTTGTGCGCCCCCCCCGCTCTTGGACGCCCCCGTCTTGGCCGCCCCCGAGAGCCCGAGAGCGGCGAGGAGCCTCCGAACCCGTTTCCCTCGGGATCCGTTTCTCTGAGCCTCCGAGAGGGGGTCGGAGCAGAGAGGGGGTCGGAGGATGACCCCGCATCGCCGATGCAGCGGCGATGCGGCTCGACGTGGAGCCCAGTTTCCTCCGCGCCGACGTTGCCGATGCATCGCCGACGTCGCCGATGCCGCGCCGATGCGTCGCCGATGCGTCGCCGATGCATCGGCGATGCATCGGCGATGCGGTGCAATCCTGCGACCCACTCTGCTCGGACGCCTATCTAGGAGGCCTATGGCTTTAAGTCGGCCTCTACAGGAGGAAAGTTCACAAATGGTACGAATACATTAAGAATGGCTTAAATGAATGTCTGGGGAGGATTTGTTTGCTTTTTTCGAGTATTTTGATAGTATCAAATTTTCGTCCCAGAGTCCGCCTGCATGATGACGTGCCCGACCTAAAAAGCTTCTCCCCGGGCGAGCCTCGCCCCTCCCCGTGGGCTTGCGGACTTTCGGCCTCCAGGGCCCGGCGAGGGCCCCGGGGCCGTCAGAAGAGGATTGACGACGAACAGAATCCGGCCCCAGGGAAGTGGTCCAGACTTCGGGGCCCACACATCGAAGTATGTGGAGCAGCCCGATGTCTGGGCTTTCTCCCTTCTGCAGATTTGTTTTTGCATTCCGCACCTACAGAGTCTTCGTCAGACGCTCAAGATGCGGGGCAGGCGGAGAAGAGCTCAGGCTACCCTCGCACTCTGCGGTTTGGCTTTGAATTCCACTGGACCGTCCGTCAAGGGATGGGCCAGGATTTGCCAGCCTGTCCACCCGCCATGATCCTGGCCATGATCCAGTTCGGCGCCGAGCTCGCCGGCCAAGAGGACATGTCTCAGGCCTGAAGTGCGCATGCATCGATCTGGGGCCAAGGATTAGTCTGGCTGGAAGCTGCGCGCATAAGCGGATACGTGGCGTGCGCTAGCTCATTGTGGCTTCTTGAGAACTGTTTGCGCCATCGCCCAGCGTGCAAATCCTCCTCCTGGCGCGAGAGGTATCGGTACACTATGCCTGTCCCTGGGATGCGGGCACCGCCTCCAGTTGGCTGGGTGTGCGTTTATTCATTTCTCAAGGGGGTGGGATTGCGAATGCGATGGGCGCTTGGGCCGGGGGTGGGAGGTTCGGGGCCTCCCAAATGGGGTCGGAGCAGTCGGGGTTGGAGGATCGCGCCACATCGCCGATGCATCGCCGATGCGGCTCGACGGCGCCGACGCATCGGCGGCGGCGCCGAGGCACCACCGATGCACCGCCGATTGATCGGCGATGCATCGCCGATGTGGTGCGATCCTTCGACCCCATCCACTCGGGCCCCATCCAGGAGGCCTCTAGGGAGGTGCTTGGGGGGTGGGGTTGGGGCAGGCGGTTCCACCTTACTTTTTTAGGCAGCGGCCGCGGGCGAGCGCGCCAGCGGCGAGTCAGGTCCGAGCGGGCTACGCAGAGACTAACTAGGCAGAGGCGACGCGCAAGGCAACAGCTACGTGCCGGCCGGGCGGTTCCACCTCGCGCGCAGCTTCTGCTTCCAGCTGCTCGTCGGAGGGCGATCCTGGGCTCAAGATGGGACCCGATGGGGTGCGCGCGTGTTCCCTGGCATCGCTCGGACGTGTGCGTTTTTTCGTCGGCGAGGACCATCGAGGAGCATCCTTGACCATTTGCCGAAAAAACCACGCACGAAACCGAACAAAACACAGGGAATGGACGTCCGAGCGATGGCGAGGTTCGTGCATCGTTGGCAGTCGCTCCTCTGGCCAGCAGCTGCTCGATCTGCCCAGGCCTCCGACGTGCGGATGCTTTCGCGGCGTGGTCCCCGGAGGCCCCGACCTCCTCTCCCCTCGGGAGCCTGGAGATGGGGGTCAATGCAAACGGGGTCAGCCATGGCTCAGCGGGCCCTGGAAACGACAGAGCCGTTTTTTTACCGGTTCCGTTTTTCCGTTTTTTTACGGGTTCCAACTCCGTTTTTTTACCGGTTCCGTCGCCGTTTTTTGACCGGTTCCGGCTCCGGTTCCAATCTTGGAGCCGTTATTTTGCCGTTTCGGGTCGCCCTTTTTTTTGCCGTTTCCATTTTCAAGGAACATTTTTGTGGAAACGGTGAAAAAACGGCCCTGCCGTTTCCAGGGCCCACAAAGAGCCATGTGCACCAGATCCTGCAGGATCCTGCAAAGACCCCCTCTGGCTGACCCGGGTCAGCGAGCCGCTCGTGGCCGCGAGGCGGCCGCGCACATTGGCTGACCCAGGTGTGCGAAGAGCTGCGCTGCAGTTGTTTCTTTCCTGCACTGCAGTTTTTGGCTTCCTGCGGACCCGGGTCTGGACTGACCCGGGTCAGAAGATCCCCGAGATTCCCCATTTCGGGTTTGGGAGTCATGTGTCGAAGACGAGAGAACGGCACAAACACACATTTTTGGCGCTCCGCGCAGATTTCTTGGATCCGCGGTGGGCCCCCCCGCGCCCCCATGGGGGATCATAAATGGTGGGGTGGCGAGTGTGGTCCGAGAAGGTACCCAAACGGTACTTAAACGAGCCCCCTGGAGCTCTGGAGGGGCCCGAAAGGGGCACGAAAGGGGACCTTTTCTGACCCCCCAATTTGTGATCCCCTCATTAAGCCACGCCCAAGCTCTGCGCGCCAGGGAGGGGGTCCAGCGCAGATCCCCGATCCCCGATCCCCGCGACTGGCTCTTCCACCCCGTTGAGTTTTCGACCTGGTGGGTCTCCAGCGAGGGCCTCCCGAGGCCATCCGCCCAAAGCCGCCCGCCTTGCTCTTTCCGGGGGTGTCTTCTTAGGACCAGGGGAGCCTCGGCATCGCTCGGGCGTGTGCGTTTTTCCTTCGGCGAGGCCCCCTCGAGGAGCATCCTGGAGCACCGACACCGAACCAGAAGCACAGGGCATGGACGTCCGAGCGATGGCCAGGCGCGGGCCCGCTGGCCCGGCCAGCAGCTGTTCCGCACCGCTCGTTCCCGAGGTGGGGGTCCGTCCGTAGCTCTGGCGCGGGGGGGGGTCGGCCCTCGGTGGCCCCGGCAGGCGGTGGAAGTGGCTCGGAGGAGGACGCGGCGCTGGTGCCGCGGCCCTTCGCCTCGCTCTCGCCGTCTTCGGGCCTCTCGGGAGGCCCTCGTCGCCGCCGCTGGATTCGCCCCGAGATTCTTGTCAGAGCGCACCTCGGGAGAGGTCCTGGGAGTGGCGCTATCGGTTCCCTTTTAATTTCCCCAGTGTGTCGTTCGGGACCCGCGCCTGTCAGCACAGATCTCGAAGCGGAGGAGTGACGCCAGAGGGTGGGAGGGGGGCGAGAGGGGAGGAGGGAGGACAGAGGGACAAGGGGGGGGAGGGAAGGAGGCGAAAGAGGATCGCACGATAGAGGAAAGGTGCTGGCTGGAAGGAGGAGGGAGGATGGGGGACGGGGAGGGGCAGAATGGACTAGGCGGGAGGGCCATGGGGGGGCCACTTGCTTGCGCGGGGAGGCGCCTCTGCTCGTCCTGCTCGCGGATAGCCCGGATGTCCTTTGGTACCGATTGCGCTGCCTCCTCCTCCTCCTCCTCCTCCTCCTCCTCCTCCTCCTCCTCCCCCTCCCCCTTCCCCCTCTTTCCCCTTCCCCTCCTCCTCCTCCTCCTCCTCCTCCTCCTCCGGGCCTCCGAGGCTCTGTGCTTGCACGGAGTTCTCCTCTCCAACCGTAAGTCGGGCCTGTCCCTCTAGAGGGGGAACATGCAAAGATCACCAACAAATAAAAGGGGGACGATTTTTCCGTATGTTTGATTAGTGTTTGGTATAGTTTGAAGATGTTTATTGTTTCGCCCAGAATCATCGTGTAGGAGGACATGAACGACCTAACTCCAGCCCTCCCCCTCTTCCTCCACCTTGCACCTCGTCGACCCTCCATCTTCAAGCCTCCTTCTCCTCGTCCCTCCTTCTTCAGCCCTCCTTCTCCTCGTTTCAGCCACGCGCAGAGGGGGTTGTAGGGTTATGATGTTCCAGCCTACTTTAGCCTTGATCACCGAGAGAGCGTGATCCACCGCCGCTTTACTGTGGAAAATTGCCAACCTTTTCCTCCGGAACCCGGGGGTCGCCCCCCCCCCCTCCGAAAATCCTTCCCCCCCCCACTGCTGGAACCCCTCCCCCCCCCCCCCCCCTCCCCCGGCAAAACCCCCCCCTCCCCTAACCCCTCCCCCCCCCCCCCCCCCCCTCCCCTCCCCCTCGAAAACCGGGGGGGGTCACTACCGGTTCGAACCCCTCCCCCCCCCCCCCCTCCGGATCCGGAAAACCGGGGGGGGTCACTACCGGTTCGAACCCCCCCCCCCCTCGAAAACCGGAGGGGGATCACTACCGGTTCGAACCCCTCCCCACCCCCCCCACTCACCGCCAGCAAACGACTCCCGGTCCCTACCACCG